ATGCTTGTAAAATAATAATCATGATAGAAACTCACTATATAAACATGCTATCCATTCAATCAAGTAACACATATTCACATAACATGGCATATTCTCAAATATCTCAGTTTAAACAAGAATCAAAGCAATCAAACATGCTGTAATACAATTAGAAGAGCATGATTCAATATGGAACAAGATTCCATGGCTTAAGATGTCCCTACCTCAATATTGCACCAAAACCCTAGAAAATGGGTCCTCAAATTCGAGCTCCCAAAGAGGACCAAAAGCTGGAATTTCTGATACTGGCACATAGGGCTCGTCGTGCTCGTCGTTTTGCCTCAAACGGCACCTAAATCCAGCAAGGATTGAGAGAGTAATCAAGGGTTAAAGTTTGAAGTGAAAAAAAAGAAAAAAAAAAAAAAAAAGAAGGAGCCGAGAGACAAAGATGGATGCGAGAGAGAAGATGAGGTTACAGTAAAAAAAAAAAAAAAAAAAAAAAAAAAAAAAAAAAACATGGTCTTAACATTTGTGGGTCCCACTTTTTTTTTTATATTTCTTTTCTCTTTTTTTTTTTCTTAATACACACCGCACACAGACATATATATATATATATATATATATATATATATATATATATATATAAAGGCACAAACATTACAATATATATATATATGAACTTTTATAAAAACTTCTAACATATAATCATATTCCAAGATACTCTTTCACATTTCAATTTTATTCATCAACCATATCTAATGTTAAAAATATCACATTGAAAGTGATAAGTTGCTTTCTTTCTTCTTCTTTTTTTTCTTTTTTTCACGAGACAGTGTGTGCTTGAAATATTAGTAAAATGGATGATCGAGAATTCAAGTAGTTTTCAGAGAAGGCATATATCATGAGAGAATATTAGGCGCTCGCCTTGAAAGTGGAGAACACTAGCTGAGACACTAGTAGATGAGTCTCTAAAGAGTATCCAAAGCTTTAATTTTTGTGTGGCCTTTTACTTTCTTTTTTTTTTGGTTAAGGCCTTCACTTTTATCTCTATTACACATAAAGCTCAACTACAAGGCATTGATTCAACTACTTTTGTTGCACATTTCTCCACCCCCAGCTAACTTGGTCAGGAAGACTCTTGTCCCTGATGACTAGTAGCTAGTCCTGAATTAATACTACTATGTGTCTGTGTGATTGTATATAAATCAATGGTTGTAAATAGGCCTTTGCATTGACAGAAGAATCTAGGCCGTTTGATCTTTGACATTCCACATGGTCTCTTTAGGGCTTTATTCTTGATTATCCTCGATCTCTATATTATTGTGCTTTTTTCACCTGCCTTACCCACCACCATTCTTGTGACTTTTGGTGTCAACTAAAACCTCCATTCTTTTTTCTCCTTTTAATTCCTTTTATCTTTATCAAATTTCAACAGGGTACCAAAAATGTATGTAGGGCTGTCTAGCACCACTAGATTTTGATCAGATGGTGCTCAAGACTACCCTATTCTATAAATATATATTGTCAAAAGAATTTCAAAAAATTGTATGTAAAAGAAGTAAAAATGAGGCTTTTTTCAAAAGCAATGGTCCAGCAAAGATGAAAAACATTGCAAAGTGGAAAAGAAAAAGCCTATTACATGTATCAGATGCCACTCTCTTCTAAACCTCCAAACTCGCAAGTTTACCTTTATTGGGGTGCAAAATTGTAGTGCCACCTAATTAAATAAATCCTTCAATTTGGTTGTACACATAATATTGTTTTGAACAAATATTAAACCCTTCAACTTTGAGTAATAAACTAATTAGAATTGTTCAACCAGGCATAATTCAATGGGCTCTAGCTTTAGATGGAATAAGCTCTCTTCTCTTTTTGGAGAGGTTGGGCCCAATCGAGCCCGTATTGATCAAATATATGGTGAATTTAGTTTTTGGTTGAACTTTTGAAAAAAATTAAATTAGATGGATATATAACAATTAGAATGAATGTTATTTTCTTCATCTCTCAGCATTGGTTAATAGGCGGATGCCTCGTAACCCAGTTGGATCAGAGCCTCCTGTGAAACTTGGAGTGCTAAGGCTCGAGTCTCTGCACCTACTACCATAACTTCTTGCCTTGCCAAAAAAAAAAAAAAATAGAAAAAAAAAAAGGAAAAGAAAAAAATGCATTGGTTAATAGAAAAGGAACATATGATCAGTAGGTGGTTGTCAAATTAACCAAAGCATATACAACATAATATTTATTTTAAATTTGTTTTAGAATTAGAAAAAAAAAATTAAAAAATAAAAAACAACACTTTTGGCGCAAAAAAGAAAAGAAAAGAAAAAGAAAAAGTTGGCACTCATCTATACAAGTTGAATTTCTAATAGAGTAGATTTCCAAGGAGGCCAAACATGCAATCCTTAAAGCTTTGGAGTTGTTTTCTACTTTCCCAATTTCCCTTTCATATTAAATCATATTTTTGGGACACAAAGGATCTTTTAGTATTTTCCTCTAGCTTTACATATATGCTGATGAAGAGAGGAATTTAAAGATGCACGATAGCACTAGCCATGATATGCCTCATCCATTTTTACCATATACCATTGATTGATCCCATTCCATTCAAATCTAAATTATACATTTAGCATGTGTGCTTGTGTGTATATATATACTAAAACGGGGTGTGAAGAGTTTTGCTCCGAATAACTCACGAGACTCGTGTAAAGTAATTTTTTTATACGAAACGGATAAAGTTGAACTATATTGTTGCAGACTCCTAAACAAATGAAAACTGTTGTTTTATATTTTATTTTTTGAAATGGGTAAGGTTAGTACTCACTAGTCACGCATTTCACCTAAAACTCAAGCTTTTCACTTCTCTTTTTTTTAATGTATGTATAGAAATATTATTATTAGACTATTGGCTCAAGTAATAAAAAATTATTTATCTACTAAGAAGGTATTAGATGCTATTAACCAGACTTATTCGAATAGTACGTGTAACATATATTTACGATATAAGTCACATAAAGTGGAAGCGGGAGCGAATTAAATAGAGAGTGAGTGAAAGCGAAAAATCGTGTCACAAATAGTAGGAACGAAAAAAAACGAGAAAGTGAGCACGCACGAAACATAAAAATAGAAACATGTTCGAAATGTAAGAACAGTACTGGTTGAGAAATAACAACTACTTCCGTCTAAAAAAATTGTATCTAAGTCACATAAAATAAGAACGGGAGTGAGAGAGAATTTGAGAGTGGGAGCGTGAAAGTGACAGAATTAAGTTATAAAAAATAAGAATTTGAGAAAAAGTGCGCTTGAAACGTGAGAACTATACTCATTAAAAATAATTGTGAGGATTGTATAACTTAGTTCACCACTGGCGACCCAGGTGGGAAGATTGACCGCAATGAGACCCCATGTTTCTTGCAGTAAGATTTGAATAACATTATGGCTTCGTTTGGATACACAGGAGAGAAAAGAAAGGAAATGATTATGAGATAAAAGAAATGAAATGAAAGGATTATGAGAGAAAAGAAAAAAAAAAAAAAAAAAATGAAATGAAAAGAAATGATAGATATAATAATATTTATGTTTGGATGGATAGAAAAAAAATGAAATGTATGAATAATTTATTATTTTATCATATCTCTCAACCAAGCTTGCCCCTACCCCTTCTCTCAAGGTTGTTTTTATAATTTGCTCCATTTCTCTCCAAATCCCTCCAAATCTTGTCAATTTTGGAGGAATTCCAAATAAGGGATTTGGAGAGATTGCTATCCCTCCAAATTTCTCCAAATCCTTTCTTTTCTCTTCTATTCCCGCCATCCAAATACACTCATTACTATCTCTCTCTTTCTTTTCTCTTCGAATCCTTCTAAATCCTTCAATCCAAACAAAGCCTACAGGAGTAAGGGAGATTGACTGCAGTGGGACCCCATCTTACTGCAGTAAGATTTGAATAACAATATTTACAGGAGTGAAGAGAATCATCTATTATTATCTCATCATAAATCATAAGTTATTTGTAGAGCGTTCGATCTCTTACAACTAAAGACCAAAATTAGAACATAAAGGGAAAGCTAGCTCGAACTAAAGTAGGAAACAAAGCAATTATCAAAAGCAAAAGCAATCACTCTCGTATCTTCATGCGTGCGCGCATCTGTTCTCCCTCTCCCTCTCCCTCTCCCTCTCCCTCCCTCCCTCCCTCCACACACAAAAACACACAGAAAAAGCTGTTGCATGTATAAACTTTGAAATTCTGTGATTAATTTGTTGGTCTGAGTAACTGAGCTAAATTTAGTATTTGCCCAAACCAGCAATGTAATAGATCCACGAGAATATTGGGAAAAATTGCTTCAACTGAAAAAGATTTTGGTACACAAATTGTTTCATGTCACGAAGAATGCTAAATACAGTTGTGACTTAGCAAGCTATGTGGGATTCTTGAAATTCATGAGTTTGTGTTTAAAAGGTGGCAACTGTGATTAGCATAGCTCTTAGGTGACCTAAATTTTATCCATGGTATAATTTGTATGCTTAGGCAACTATTCGTAATCGAGCTTAATTTTGTGTGTGTGTGTGTGTGTGTTTGCGGGTTAAAAACCTTGGTGTTGATTCATGACTCATGAGTGGAGTCACTTGTGGATATATGTTCCTTTGTGTGCTTTTCCTCTCGCCACTCAAACACACAAATCATTCTAAAACATTCCCAAGTGGAAAATCTGTGTGTGAATGCATATGACTGTCCTAATCTTTATTTAGCAATGAAATTAAAGTAATCTCATTAACATACGTTTACACTTTAGAACAAGGCATAATCTTGAAATTCTCTTCTCATGCAAACAAAAAGCAAAAGAAGAACCCCAGTACTCCATCTGCTTCGTCTCTTTATCTTTATCTTTGCTGCTTCTTTTTCAGCCCTCAAACAGTAACTTTACCTCTCTTTATACATCCCTATACATTATGCCAAATCACACATCTTCAAAATTCCAAAATTACCCCCACCACCGTCTTTCTTTCTTTCTTTGTCTTCATCTTTCTATATATATAACAGAGACAAAACCACAATTACATTCACTTCACTTACAACAAAAGATTTACTAAGATGGAGATATTGTCGCAAATGTGGTCTCTCTTAGGCCTCCTCACAGTCCTCCAAAACATCTTGCCCTCACAGCTTCTCTCTCTCTTACACTCCTTCTATGAGTCCCTCCAAGACTTCTTTAGCCCATATTCGTACTTCGAAATCCCCGAATTCAATGGCTACTGTGGCGTCGACGTCAACGACCTCTACCGCCATGTCAACCTCTACCTCAACTCCGTCAACCCCTCCACCTCCTGCCGCCGCCTCACCCTCTCCCGCTCCAAATCATCCAACCGCATTTCCTTCACCGTCGCCCCCAACCACACCGTCCACGACACCTTCACCGGCCACCACCTCTCGTGGACTCACCACGTCGACACCGTCCAAGACTCCCTGGACGAGAAGCGGAGCTTCACTCTCAAGCTCCCCAAACGCCACCGTTTAACCCTACTCTCACCCTACCTCGACCATGTCACGACGCGTGCTGAAGAGTTCGAGCGCGTGTCACGTGAACGGAGGCTCTTTACTAACAACGGCCACGGCTCGTACGAGTCCGGCTGGGCCTCCGTCCCGTTCCGCCACCCGTCCACCTTCGAGACGCTCGCCCTCGAGCCGGAGACAAAGAAGCAACTCACGGAGGACTTAACCGCATTTGCTGATGGAAAAGACTTCTATCATAAAATTGGACGTGCATGGAAGCGTGGCTACTTGCTGTACGGCCCTCCCGGCTCCGGCAAGTCCAGTCTCATCGCCGCAATGGCGAATTATTTATGTTACGACGTGTATGATCTTGAACTCACTAAAGTGTCAGACAATTCAGAGCTTAGAGCTTTGCTCATACAGACGACGAACCGGTCCATCATTGTCATCGAAGATATCGATTGCTCGGTCGATCTGACCCGTGACAGATCCTTGTCAAAGCTAAAGAAAGCATCACACCATGAGAAAAACCGGCGGGATGGCGAAAACCGGGACGAAAACGGCCGGGTGACTTTGTCCGGGTTGCTGAACTTCACCGACGGACTATGGTCGTGCTGTGGAGAGGAGAGGATTATAGTGTTTACGACCAACCATAGGGACAATGTCGACCCGGCACTGGTTAGGTGTGGGAGGATGGACGTGCATGTTAGCCTAGGCACGTGCGGGATGCATGCGTTCAAGGCGTTGGTGATGAACTACTTGGGCGTGGAGTCGCACGCGCTGTTTGACGTGGCGGAGAGTTGTATAAGGTCGGGTGGGGCCCTCACGCCAGCTCAGATAGGGGAGATCCTGCTGAGGAACAGGAGGAATGCTGACGTGGCGGTCAAGGCTGTAATAACAGCGATGCAGGCGAGGATTTTGGGAGCTGACGTTGAGCTGCCGGAGATGGATGCGGAGGAGTGTATGGTGGTGGAGAGAGGGTTGGAGTCGCCGCCGGGGAATTGGGAGACCTCGCCCGGGAGTTTTGGCGGGAAGAAGAAGAGAGAGGGATCCACATGGGAGAGAAAGGTCAAATTTCTTGTGAGACTTAGATCTTTGACCAAGTCAGACTCTGGAAGGAGGGGTATCTGATGTCTAATGTGAGCCAAGGTGTACACTACTGTTTAGAGGACACTCCTCCCAAAAGAGGGAGGTTAAGCGTTGGCTCAGCTTTTGGTTTACTAATCTAAATTTTAAGCCTTTGTTGTAACTTTTGTCGTGTTTATGACTTGAATTAGAATGGTGAATAGCGTATTTGACTTCACAAAAAAAAAAAAAAAACTTTCCACTTCTCTCTCAATTGAGGAGTGGAATATCTGCGTTACATGAAATGAAAGGAGAACACCCACTTTGATGAAACATGTGGCCTTGATTCATCCAGTTATTCTTAGGTGATATTTTGGTAGGTTTGGAATTGGAATGATTTTATTTTTAAATTTATGACCAATATAAGTTTAAATTATTTTAAATTATAATCATTGATGCGTTCTGCGGTCTTAAATTATTTGATTTTTTATTTTGATTAAATTGTTTGATAATCATATCATTGTTCGAAGATTGATGATCAAATATTTTAAGTTGTTTCAAAATTGAATCATTCGATGTTTTATTCGTTAAATTGTTGGGTGGGCATATCTTTATTCAAAGATTGATTGAATTCTTAAAGTTTAAATGCTTCAAAATGAGAATTCCCCACTTCAATATATTCTACAACTTTGAATCATTCTACGGTGAAGATTAATCAACATTTGAAAATATTTGTTCAGACCACAAAGCTATGTCCTCCTAAGACAGTAAACAGTGTTGAAAATTTGTTACAATATCGATCCATAAAAATCACTAAATTGAAACACGTGAAATATATACCAAAACAGATATTATAGGCCCAATTGAAAGGATATATTAGAATTTTTTCTATTAGTCTTTCTCATCCAGTAGTTACAAATATATATACTCCCCACTTTAATTGTCGTCTTCAAAATCATAATTCACATGTTCTCTCTGTCCAACTTTAATTGTCGCTTTCGGAAACCGTAATTCACAAAAATGTTTGTGAATTACGGTTTCCGAAAGCGACAATTAAAGTGGGACAGAGGGAGTATTTCACATTACAATTTTTTGTTTGAATTTATTTATGTATAAAATTATAACATAATAAATAATTATATAATTGATGACGTGATATTTTTATAATTATTAATAATTTAAGTATACTTAGAAAAAAAAAATTGAAGATCATCCAAATAGCATGGATGACACTAATGATTGTGTGTGTGTGTATATATATATATATATTGTAAATATAATGTGTCATAGTATATTTTACACAAAAAATTTGAACTAATTATTTTTACCTCTAACCATTATTTTATATATTTTGTGTAAAAATGTATTTGCTAATATATCTACCAACTACGTGCAGTGACGGCAGAAAATTTTGTAGGGGGCTTTTAATTTATTAGAGTAAACTTATATAGTGAGTTCATTTTTATAATTTTAATGGGGTTTTCTTCATAAATTTTTAAAAATTTAAAGTATAAAATGTAAAAAAAAAAAAAAATTAGTAGGGACGAATTGTAATTTTAGTGAGGCATCTTTATAAATTCTAAAAAAATTAAGGTATAAAATGAATAAAAAAATCCAGTGGAGGCATCCGCCCCCACTTAGCCTATGTTGGGTTCGTGCCTGACTACTTGTCATATGCAAGACGTAACTTTTACAATATACTTAATAATTAATTTGTTAAAGAAATGAGAAAAACAAAGGAGATAGAAAATATGTTAATGTAATTGTAAAATAATTAGTTAAAATAAAAAATAATTTTACAATAAAGTGACAATATAATTTAACATACAAAAAAAAATTATGTATATTTTATACAAAATGATCTTTTAAGCCGGAGATGCTTCAATATCATGAGATATTTTCTCTTGTCCTTTCAAATTACATTAATAATACCATCAAATATTTAAGTAAAAATAAAAATAAATAAATGAAAATAACAACAATTTTTTATGCCACATCGCTATCGGTGCATCGTAATCCATACGTTCTCTCCTCTACCCTCCATAAATATCAAAAGACGCACCCGCCTCGCCACCAAACAATTTAGAGCGAGAGAAAGGGGAGAGAGAGACAGATGGGAATCGTGGTAATAGACGGCTCGACGGTACGAGACTTCGTCACCGACGAGGCACAGTTCAACAAGAGCGTCGACGAGCGCTTTGCTCTGCTGGACCTGAACAACGACGGCGTTTTGTCCCGGTCGGAGCTCCGCAAGGCCTTCGAGTCGTTCCGGCTAGTCGAGGTTCACTTCGGCGTGGACGACCCGACGCCGCCGGAGGAGCTGACGCGGCTCTACGACTCCATATTCGAGAAGTTCGACTGCGACCAGAGCGGGACCGTCGATCGCGAGGAGTTCAAGTCGGAGATGAAGAAGATCATGCTCGCCATCGCCGACGGTCTCGGGTCGAGCCCGATCCAGATGGCGCTTGAAGACGATGATAAGAATTTTCTCAAGCAAGCCGCGGATCTCGAGGCTTCGAAGATCTCGCAAGGGTCGTGATTCGATTAGTCGGTTCATCCAACGGCTGAGATGGCCTGTTCTCACTCTTTTGTCTACATGTCTTGTAATAACAGTACTTTGTGTCTGTGAGTTTCTTATGTTATATATGAAGTTTTTTTCAGATCTTTTGATGCAAAGAAAAACGGGCACATTTTTTATTTAACTGAAAGGAGTTAAAAACAAAAACAATATGAATGTTAGGAAAAATTTGTTTCATGAGTGACAATGATTCAAATTGAAATCATGAATTCAATTTCTCTGAGTTTGTGATGAATCTGATGAGTTCAGGTAGGTTGAATTAATTTATAGATGTACTTCTTTATTTTACCAGTAAGTTAACAGTACTGTTTCTATTTAAAAAGTTTTTGTTTTGTTGGTTTATAATCTCTCTCATTGGGTAGAATGGAAAATTGAAGGGAAGGGAAGGGATGGAAGGGAAGGGATGGAAGGAAAGGGAATACAAACAATCAAACATTGTGATTGGAATGATGGGAATTGGTGAGATTTGGAATTCAAAATAAAGTATGAGGAGAGAAATGAAACAGAAGGGAATGAAATGATGTTATTAAATTATGTGATTGATTACTAAAGATAAATAAATAAATAAATTATAGTAATAATTTGTTAGGGAAAAGAAATAAAATGAAATTATTTTGATGAATTTGTTAAACTAGCATAGAGTGTTTTTGAAAAAATAAGGATAAATTTGATATTAATAAAATTTTATTAAAAATGTTAACCTTTTCTTTAATTTTTGTGAGAATAAAACTAACACATTATCCTTCTAAATTATTCTATTTCCTTTATTTTCCTTTAATAGTATATACCAAATTCAATATTTTATTTTCCTCCATCTAGGAATTAAAAATGGAATTGAATTTAACAGGATTTTTGAGTTTTCAAATATAGTGGGCTCAAATTCCTTAAAAAATGGTGGGGTTTGACATGATTTGTAAATCCGTCTAGTTGTAGGTTTGTGACACTCATTTGCCATTATTTTGGGAGAAGTATAATGTCATGAATTCTTGTTCTATATGGAATTCGATTTACTGTTAACATTATTTAATAGGGTAAGTTTTAAGTTAAATTATAATAAATGCACTATTTAAGTGAGAACGAAATCTCAGTAACTTAACTTTTAAGCTGTTCAATGTCACCAATTAGGTTGGGTTTGACTTTCTTCTATTTATACAATGAATTGGTAGCAAATTACTCTATTTTGGTTCCATTTCCAATTTGTGGCAGATAATCTGGCCTTATTAATGTTAACTTGGTTTTCTCGGCATGTGGGCTATTCTTCATTGGTTAATGTTCTGTATACGTGTCCAGTTTTAATTGGTTCGAACTTTTTGCCTTCACAAGCACCGCTCCACATCCAAACATCAATTCTTTAGAGCCCATGTAGCTAAATTAAGGGCAACACTATTACGTGATCCAAGGAGCCCAAGGGAGCGAAAATCCCCTTTCAGATGAATATCATGTATGATGCCAATTGATAAATCATGATGACAACGTATTTGATAGGGTTCGTAACGATGTGAAGATGGAGATGAAAAAAAAGACGTCGCCTGAGAGATTCGAACTCTCGCGGGGAAACCCCATGTACTTAGCAGGCACACGCCTTAACCACTCGGCCAAAGCGACGGTTGATGACGATGGCTTTCTAAGAAAGTATATATTATTATAGAAAATCACTATCGATGTTGATTGGCCCCACAGTGAAATGAAACAGAAGCAAACTGACCAACCATAGCACTCATTTGTCCTCCTCCAAACAAAACCCGAATTCCTTATCACGCACACAAAGGTGGAAACACACGAAGACAGAGAGAAATGTCGTCCTCACCCACCACCGGTGCTGCCTCCGGCTCCGTCACCGTGGATAGGCGGACATACTGGTGCCACGAGTGTGACATGAGCGTCTCTCTCCTCTCCCCTTCCCCCTCCTCTCCTACCTCTCTCCTCTGCCCTTACTGCCACAGCGACTTCCTCGAAGAAATGGATTCCCCTCTTTTCAACCCCAATCCTAACCCTAACCCTAACTCCAATCTCTCCCCATTCCCCTCATTCTTCGATCCATCCTTCCCCCTCCTCTCCCCTCACCAAACTCTAGCTACCACCGATATTGACGTCACCGACACCACCACTACCTCCTTCCAATTCCCTTCCGCCACCGCATCCGACGACAATTACCTCCTCGACAGCCCTTACCTCCGCCGCCTGATCCAACACCTCACCAATTCCGAATCCGATGACGCCGCAACTGCTGCAACCGCCGCGGCCACCACCACTCGCTACCACTCCCCCGCATCAAAATCCGCAGTCGAATCCATTCCGTCTATCAAAATCACAGCTTCATTGCTGGACCTTGATCCGGTTATTCTCTGTGCTGTTTGTAAAGATCAGTTTGTTGTCGATGTGGAAGCCAAGCAATTGCCTTGTAAGCATATGTACCATTCCGATTGTATTCTTCCGTGGCTTGCACAGCACAACTCGTGTCCGGTGTGTCGGTTTGAGCTTCCCACCGAGAATGAAGATTCGAGGGAGAAGAGGAGGTCCAGAACTGCGGCTTTGAGGTTCGGGGAGCTGATAGAGGATGAGGAATTGTTTGGATTTGGAAGTACATTGAGGCATATTGCTAGGAGGCACAGGCTTGTGTTTCCTGAGAGCCAGCAGAATAGCTTGGATTCTATTTTTTTGTCACCCACACAGGTGGGAGAAGCCGAGCCGGGGCTCGTGGAGCGTGCTAATAGTGTTGAGACTGTGTCGAGTTGGCCAACTTGGCCGGTAGAAGGAGGGGTAGGTGTTGGTGGTGGTGGTGCAGATGGAGACATAGCTGTGAGTGCCAGGATGAGTGAGGATGGTGATACTGTGATGTCTGAAGCTAGAGTTTCGGGATCTGTTTCAGCAAACTTGAGGTATGCTTATCTTTCAATGGCTCTATCGTGTTCTTTTCTCAATTTCCCTATATGTATTGTTTAGTGAAATTGGTTTACCATTTTTGCAAGCTATCATGGTTACTGGATTTTGTATGTACTCTCTTGTTCTGACAATCCTGATATTGTAATTTATTTATTGAGCTAAGTCTAGTAGGTTATGGACTGTTTCCTATTAGAAAAAAAGTTGTCTCTCTTGGTGGGGAGACCACGGTACACTGACATTGGACTTCTTTTTGTGTGTTGTTAAAAAATCCGGGTGTTCGTGCCAGAGCCAAGAATTCGCTTCAGTGGGTGCAACTTTGGATTTTGAACAATAATAAGAAATAAAAATTAAGTCAAAATAATAAATTCAAAAACTTTAGTTATTGTCTTCATTGATAAGAAAAAGAAAAAATGTGAATTTCGAATAGCGGTCCCGAATTCAAGTAGTAGACAATATGGCAAATTATTGCCTTTGTTTTTAACCTATAAATTCCTACAATGATAATGTCACCACTTGAAGCAATGGAATTTGGTTTTGCATATTGATTTATTGAGAAATCAACTGAAAGAGAGTTTTTTTATTCCTTTCTCTTTGTGCTTCTTCCTTTGAAAGAGATCCACAGAAAAATACCACTAAGACTCTGACTCTAGTACTGTCTCCTTTTCTTTTCAAATGAACAATTAAGGGTTCTAGTCTCCACATCAAGGGCTATAAACCAAAATTTGCTCTACCTTACAAAGTGGAAGGTTGAGGGTTCAAGTTCCTATTGAGGCAAATTGAGTGGAAGTTATTTGCCAACTGAGCCCTTGCTGACTCCATCCCAGGTGTTCTGTCTAACACTTCTTTGCCACTTGAAAATTTCGTGTTACCACATTAGAGTCTATAAGGTGAAGTTGACGTTGATAGTTCTAATTTGTAGTAATGTCAATGTGTAATTTAGCGCAGTTCTTCATGTGGTCTGCTTGTGGCTCACGTTTTGGTATGTTGAGAGTTGTTAGCATGTCATGTGATGCTTAGCAGTTGTCTTTTGAACCTTTATTTGTTATAAGTTGTTAGAAAGAGTGCACAAGGAAGAAATTTAACCTCCATCAAGATTAGTCAATATTCTGTAAAAGGAAAAAACTTGACTCCAAATTAGGTTTAGAGGAACCTTCTTCTACATGATGAAGAATCTACTAGAGAGGCCGCCATTTACTGACTTGCATAAATAAGGTTTTATGCTCCTCATCGACAATCCTAAATTTCTTTTTTTTTTTTTAATTTTTAATTACAAGGATAGATTTTCTAAATTAGTTTCGTCCCAATTCAAAATGAATAACATTTCATCCTTGTCTAAGTTCCGCCACCTAACTTGGGAGGCATAAGGCATAGGCCTTTCAATATGTAAATTGGATATGAGAAGATGGGGCTTAAGTGAATATGGATTTATCATGCCTTTAATTCTTACTTCTAAGATATCTCCCTTTATGATGGTTAAAGAGATTGGAGGTACTTCGAGGGTTGCCCCCTTTTGCTTATGGTGGGCTTATGGCGGGAGAGAAATAGGAAATCCTTTAAAGAGGGGAGACTCCTATATGGGCATTCAAATACTATCTTCTTACTTCATTATTTTTTTCAGATACATGTTTTGTATTGTAAATCTGTGGAGGAATTCATGCATTTTTTTTGGCTAGCTCTAGCTTGTAGTGGCCCTTGTGGTCTTTTGTGCAATTATATATGGGATGTGTTCTCCATTTTAGTGCTTTTCTATGAATACTTATAAAAAAAAATATTTACAGACATATCATTTAACCCATATGTTGGAGATTATTTTGTAAACTTTGCCAAAGTTTAGCTGGGAAAAGTGACTTTATAATAATGTAGTTTGTTATATCAGGCCATTGCTTGATGCAATGGTAAGCAGAAGGACATGGATTTGTGTAAGAGAGCAACCATCTTTTTGAAAATTAAATCCAAAGATCAGATATGTTTTCAGTCTTCTGCTCTTGGCACCCCGCGTAAGGACTGGCTTAAAAGGTGTTCCTAGTTTCGTCATTTGAAGGGAGAATAGGTGAAAATTTCTTTAAATTGCAAGTTTTGCTTTGTCCCTTGTCCTTGTGGCCTACGGATTGATTTTGGTGATTGTCAGGATTCCCAACTTTGTTGTTAGCAGTTGTAAAATAAATCCGAAGTTATATCAGCCTCTGGTCTTCTTTTAGTATTCCCTCCAGGTAGGTTGGCACTGGGTAATGAACTTTTCCAATTGTAGCCATAAAAAGTTTTCGTAGTTGTGCCGTCTGTAGAAGGAAGGGAAAATAGGCGAATAATTTTCCTTAAAATTGCAACTTTGCTTTATCCCCTGTTGCCTGGGGGTTGATTTTGGTGATAGTCAAGATTTTCAACTTCGTCACCAGCAGTTGTAAGTTTTTCCATATTCATAGAACCTTTGAAGTGTGTGTGTATATATTTATAAACATATAAAAAGGGTCAGGTCTTAAGTTGCAAGTGATTTTCTTCTCTTTTGAAAGATGGGCGTCCTTCAAATAACCAAATTGGGCTGAAAATGCCAGAACCTCAGCCTGCTTAGATCAATTCAGGCAGGTTCTCTACTATCTTGTTGCATTGGGCATAGTTTAGACTCCAATGTTGGACATATGTTTTAACACTATGACATGTAGCTTTATGGGAATCGTTTGGGCTCACTGCTCACACCCAAGTGATCACCTACTTGTTACATGTTCTCTTAATGGTTTTATTTGGTGAGTGGTATAGTTAGTGGTTAAATAAAACATGATGAATAAATTCTTTTTTTAGCAGCCCAATCAGTTATATATCTAATCAATGGAATATTGTGTTTAGTGAGATGAGGATATCTGATCTTATTGACTGGTTCTTTAACTTCTATCTTCCATTTTAATTTGTTTGCAGGTAATGTATAGAGGTAACTACGATTGTTTGAGGATACTTCAACACTATAAATCGTCCAATGAAGTGTAAATCTGCTATGGATGATCATTCCATTGCCCAATAACCTGATGTCTAGTTCTTGTGCTCTCTCTGTCTCTGCAATAGCAAAGATGGAACTTGTTGCTTGTAATTATACTTGTGTGAACTCATTTTTCCTTTGTTTCTGATAATAATGAGGATATTGAGTTGCTCCTACGTTTTTAATTACATTACAGTGGCCTTTAAACTCTCAACCCCAACGGGTAGGTGACCCAGAGGTCTTGTGTTCACCCCATACCCGTCGTCTGGGATGATTGTGGGTGAAAAGGAATTATTTAGGCTCCCAATCAAGTTGAGGACACCCTCCTTTAAACTCTCTCTCTCTCTCTCTCTCTCTCTCTCTCTCTCTCTCTCTCTATATATATATATATATAACTCTTTTATCATAAATATTTTTTGTAGTTTTATTTGTGTAATTTGGGGAAACATTTTATTTTGTTTAAAAAAATAATATTAGGCTTTGTTTGCGTTGCAAAGTTTTGGAGGGAAAGGAGAAGAGAATGAAATGGGAATTGATATTCTTTCTTGTTTCCATGAATCAAAAGGAGGACAAACCAAAATGCGGGGTACTTGTTTCATGTGTTACTGTGTCCAACCTCTTCTTCAATCAACAATACGACTCTGTCCATATTGAATTCATTTCTCTGTTGTTGATGATATGTTCTTTTCTTTTTCCTTGCCTATTTAATGTGTTATATCGAATTATTTTTTCTTCTATTGATAAGTGGGCATAATCTGATGATGTTACCGTGTTAATTGTAGTTCATTGAAATTCGGTGTAATCTAGACATAAACCTATTATTTTATTGATAATCGGAAAAATGTCAAAATGGTGGAGTTAGATTTAACACATGAAGTCTTTGGACAACCTGTTTTCTGTTGGCATGTCTGTTCAAGCCGGCGACCAATAAAATAAAAAAAAAAAATCGTCGTCACTAGTACAACATCAGCAATTGATGGAGTATGGTACCAAAGTCGCATTAATGTGAATTTATAATGTAATAGAATCAATTAATGAAATCATAATTTACTAATTAAAACTGCAACGTATTTGTATGACCCTTAATAAATTCCTGTTATTTAGTTGGAGAGTTTCAGTCGTCCGTACACTGAATGAGGGTTGCATTGTTTCCATCTCCTTCTTTCCCCCAATTATTGATTCATGGTCTACCTTATCCAAACACACACTCACATGTATATATATATATATATATATATATATATATAAGCTGACTTTAATTTTTTATTGAGATGTATAAAAGATATTGTTACAGTTTGAGTGTGTGACCTACCTACCAATGCTTGCATTTAGAACACAAATTGGCAAATAATTGGAAGATGCATATAATGTTACTACTATTAGGTGTTACTTTGGCCTGGGATGATGGAATTTCTGTCATGAGTTTTATTCATATAATAACACTTGAAAATTTATACATGTGATAGTATTAATAATATAACTTTATATACATCAAAAAAACTCTTATGGTTTCTTTTAATCAATGGTTAATCACCGTCCCCTTGGGCCATTAGGAAATTTTCTCGGTAATTGCCGATTGTATGTAAAATGGGACTGCCTGAGCCTGATAGTGAATACTAGTAATAATTATTAAAAAATAATAATAAATAAATAAATTATAAAAATTACCATCACCAACTCTTTCTCTCTCTCTCTCTCTCTCAAGTCAATTATGTAATTATAAGCAACTTCTTTTAAAGAGCTCCAGTTGCCTATAATTAAAATATTTGACTTTGTGTGAGTGACAGAATGCAACTTCTTTTAAAGAGCTCCAGTTGCCTAAATTTAAAATATTTGACTTTGTGTGAGACAGAGAATACAATAGGTGAGAACCAATTAAACATCAAATAATTCATATTATTGTCTAACAAAATTAACATTGTTGACCAAAATTTCAATCGCATGTTCCTAACTGCCTCTTGAAAATTTCCAGTCTTTCACGTTATATGCAATTGCTTGACGGAAGTCTTGAGTTTAACAAAATTAACATTGTTGACCAAAATTTCGATCCTCTTCTGGAAAACTTCCATTCTTTCAAAATATATATGTGTGTGTAATTGTTTGATCAGTTCTTCTGTCTCTCAATTCATTAAAAGGGCTTCTTACAAGGCACGAAAAATGAAGAAAAATATTAAAAATTAAATAATTTATGGACATTGCTATGTGAAAACGCGTAAAATACAGTTGACAGCTTTAATTACAAATGGATTACAAGATAATATATTTTTTATATGTAACACTAAACAATTGATTCAAATATTAGTCCACTTATCATTTCAAATGATCATTGGTTAGAATCTCACCATCAATAACTTCTTAACAATGAAACTTAAACAATTATCCACCCGACAACATGCATTTATACTCTGTATGTGTTGTTTTTTTAGTATTGATGATCCATGTAAATTCTAGCAAGTTCATTTTATGCCTAGTTTAGAACATAATAAACACATTCTCATGTAAATAATACGTTATATATTTCAAAGACTTATGATAGACTCTCTGAATAGAGAGGGCCGAATTGAATCGAAAGCATTGACCATTGTGAGTCCCAATTGAAAACATTAACAACGCTTATGCAATACTCGGAGGTCAGCCCTCCAATTTTGGAGGGTCAAATGGCCAATCATATCTCAATTTTCAAAACATCTTTGGATCAATAATCTATTAATCTTTCACATTGATGGGCCTTTTTTTCTTTCTTTATCACAAGTGCATAGTAATTTATAGCTCCAAAACATGGACATATATATATATAAATATATATGTAGGGTTATTTTTTATTGCAATTAAAACGGTAAGACAATGCTCCATCTAATGGTTGGTTCGAAAAGGCAGCTTCCTAGCTCCTACAGACTAACTTATTTTTCTTCCCAAATATGGACTTTAGTATTCCAATAAATAGTCATTTTAATTAATTAGAATTTTCTATCTATATAAGCCTACCATTTTCTCTCCCACCAAACACAACCAATCTCTCTCTCTCTCTCTCTCTCTCTCTCATTGTTTCCATAAGAGAGAGGATGAAGCCGCACTTGTGTGATCATACTGTTTCTTCTCCATGTAAAGCAGCCATGCACAAGGACTCACACATAATATCAAAGCTGCAGAAGCCGAAGATACGCATAATTCACCTATTTGCACCAGAAATCATAAAGACAGACGTTCAGAATTTCCGAGAGCTGGTCCAAAAGCTCACCGGAAAACCAGCTGACCACGGTGTTGCCACGAGAAGTTCTAGTGGTGCTGCTCCAATCAAAGCATTGAGGACTATGTGTCCCGAGCCGAGCATGGAGTTCATGGACGTCCAACAAGATGAGATTCAGATATTTCATAATGGAGATGTTATAAAGAAGGAAGAGACAGACATATGGGAGTTAGATGAGAATTCGAATAATTTTGTAGATGTGGATGGTTTTATTCAAGACTTGACTGAATTTCCTCTACTTCCTTTTAAGTCTTCTTTCATGAATGCATACTGAGCCTATTCCTTCTTTTGATTTTCATCATCTTCTTCTTCTTCTGTTTTTTTAGGGTATTGACTTTCTTTCTCCTAATGTGCACACAGTCGCGCACACACATGTATATTATACTTACTGTTCATTGTTATTCTTAGTGCTTAGAAATTGGATTTGTGTTGTAAAGCTTCTGCATTTTGTTGTTTAATTATAACTCATGTTCAAATTACTCTCTCCCTCCACAAACTTTTAGCAAAATGTTGAACTAATTAACTGCATCAACAGATTTTTTTTTTCCCCGTTAAGGATTAACTGAAATATATAGTGTTGTGTATATATTTTATATTTATACATATAAGGAGAATCCCTAACTAAGCTCAGACAACTCAAAGAAATTGAATTACCAGAAGGAAGAAACTTAATTATTAAGCAAAATGTATATAAAGAGCTTCTAATCATTTAAAATAGTTAATTAATTTACCCCCAAGTTTGTTGGCATTAAACAAACATTGACTTCTAAATAGCCAAAGTCAATTCCTAAGTAAAATTTTTATCCGAAAATTGCAAGATAGAAGTCTATTTAATTTATCCAAAAAAGTAAAAGAAAGATATAAAAGCCCAAATTAATTTTACAGGCTAAGAACCTAGCTAGCATTGACATATATTTAAATCATATAACCAAAAGTCAATGCATGCCGAGGAAAGTTTTTGTATATTCACAACTTGGGAGCTAGTTAGTCTGAATAATGCCCAAAAGTACGTGATTAGATGCACCTAACCAATGCAATGCAAATTGAAAGAATAAGGAAGACTTAACAATATGTTAATAACCATTCAAATAAAAAATAAAAAAACAATATGTTAATAATATTTCGAAAAAAATAAAATAAAATAATAACCTTTCGTAAAAAACAATATGTTAATAATAGACTCGTGTTTCATACTTGATCATAAAATGGCAATGAGCTAGCTATATATACCCTTTTATGCTTGACCTAAACTGAATTTTAATTAACTTAAGATCTAGCAGTCAGTCATAGGGATCGATGACAATAAACCTGTTTTTCAGTTTTTATTAGAGAATTTTGCATGATAAAAAATAATAATCTATTAAAAATAATAGACAAGAGTGAAAGATATATATATATATATATATATATATATATATATATATATATAATTGCACAATTTTGCACAGTTGTTTTCTTTTGGATGCCACTCATTTTTCGGGAGCAAAATTGATTTTCATTAATTTTGCACATGTTTTACTCAGTCTAGAATTACATCTTTTTCCAAATTTTCTTTTCCAAAGAGAAGCATCAAGTTTGATAATGACAGCAAATAAGTCAATAATCAATGTATGAATGTATATAAGTGTGTGTGTGTATATATATATATATATATATATATATATATATATATATGGAAAACAAGCTGACTTCCCCCCAGGCCACCACACAACCACAACCACAACCACACTTATACACCCAGCTGGCATCTGAACTTCAGGTTAGGTAAAAATTAAGACAGCAATGAAAAACCTAGCTTGCTTCCCCACACGCGCGCGCACACACGACACTAATACACCCAGCTGCCGTCTGAACTTTTTTTTTTAGTCCCTGAATGAATGGGGTATTTTTTTTGTTTAATAAATATTCAAAAAAGAGTACAATTACAATAGGAGACTGATCTCCTAACTCTGAACTTCAGGCTAGGTAAAAAATTAAGATAGCGTATGATTAAAATTTCATCATTATCTTCAATGTATAAAGCGGTAAAAAATGCGATCACAATAAAATAAAATTGAATTAATTTGTGAATTAATAAAACCCTCTCTCTCCTTTTGTGTGTGCCTATGAAATATGTTTTTATTGTATTCATTATCTCTTGGTGTTATAAAAGGAGACTTGTCTCACATCGGTTTCGAATGGATAGTGACATGGATATAAATGGGTGGATATATAACACTACCCAATATCTTAAGTTTTTGAATAAATGTGCAAACGCCCACCCATTAAATTGGTATTAAAGTCAGACCCAGTCCTTAATCCTATATCACGGCAAGTGCTCAGTTCGGAAGACGTTCGAGTGTGCTACTTGGATAGGCAAGGTTACTCGACTGTAATGAGGGCGTTGCGGTTTGGGTGAAAAATAATGTTATAAGGGGAGACTTGTCCTATATCAGATCCGGATGATAAGTGACATGAGTATAAATACATGAATATTCACCACTACCTAATAACTTAAGTTTTTAAATAAATATGCAAACATTCACCCATTGCTATAGGGATTTAATTCATTTGACTGCATAATGAATTGGACTAACAAATGAAATAGATGCCAGAAAATTTGACCTTATTTTTAGCCACACGAGATGGTCACGAATTATGTGACCTTATTTTTAGCCACACAAGAGATGGTCATGAATTATGCTCAACTATATAAGGTTAGTAGATCACCAATGATTTGTCTCCAAGGATTCATTGTCGGGCTAAAATCATTCCCTATAAGGGTCATTACCCAGTGTGGTCCCCTTAATAGTTATTAAGAATGTGGGGAATAGATATAGACCTAATTTTAACATATTTGCATTGATTTTCACCTTGAAGCCTTCAACGAAAGACTTCAGCCGTACCCGAGGGTGTTCAGGCCGACTTTGGCCATTGTTCTTTGTAGAAAGTAGCTAAGCAACAATTGGAGTGGACGAGTCAGAGTCGTAAAGAGGATTGCTCACTTCTTTCTCTCATTCAAAACCGTGCATGAGACTTTCATCTCACATGACTCCTAAATGATAAAAAGAAGAATCAAAATAGGGCGTGGTCAAGTGGTAATTTACAAGCGCATAAAAACCCCATTCTACATTATTGAATGTATAATTTTTAAGTTATATCAAGCTATGGGAGAATTTTATATAAATTTCTAGAGAGCTTAGCAAACTCAGATATAAATTTTGTGTACTAATAATCACTAACTACACTACACAGCCCAAACTTTTTATAAGGTTGCTAAAAGTAGCTGAATTAAATAAATTTTGTGTACTAATCATCACTCGGGGAAGTTAGCACCAAGGGCCCAATTCGCGAATGTCTATCTCCTATCAGACCTTAGTTATTACCAATTCCTGTGGTGGTTGGGCCTGTTATTGTCTCCTTTGTTGGGCCTGTTATTGTCTAGTTGGCTGGGCTTGTTGACTAACACTGCGGCCTTGTCTTTGTTTGTTTTATGTTCTTCGACTTGGCTTGTTTTCTACTACTACTTACTATATGGTTTTGCCTGATTGGTGTATTCCCATTCTTTGGAAGAAAAGAAAATAAAACAATCATCCAACACTTCGGCTCTTTTTTAATTTTTTGGTATTTGGCAGAGATTTAGGTATCCCTTAAATCGGGCATGTCGTTTCAGAAATTGGTAGGTACGGGCATGCTAGAACCAATGAACTTTGTTCAATTTGTAGAGATTTAATCAACTTGAAAAAAAAAAATTAACCAAAGAGAGAACATTTAACTTTTTTTTAATGGGTTCAATTGACTTAAAGTGAAAAAGACTTTTAAATGGAATGAATTGCAATATAAATAAACCAAATGAAATGAACGTGAACATAAATAACAGAGAATAGGAAATCAATTCTAAAAATAACGTAAACAAAATAAATTTATTTAACTAAAAATGTAGAATTAAACTACTTTACAAGGATGCTTCTACAATTATGTATAGAAAACTAAAAGCGTTCTAAAATAAATTACTTCCTAAATCTAAGCCATTGGATTACAATAAAAAAATTTCCCATAAATCACATATATAAATTATCAAAACTATTCCAAGTGTTAAGCCCTGCTAACCTATAAATCACGTATATTCCCTCTACTTCCTTTGTTGAAGAGTCTATAAATATATTCCCAAACAAACATAAAGATAAATATTAAGGATAATTATATATAAATTCTTACCAACTAAAAGAATTCTTATCGCATGGATAAAACTTGTATCTTCTCGCATGGATAAAACTTTTATCTCTGGATGATATTTGGGTCCTCTCCATTTCATTCTCTCAGTCGATGTAACCCAATACAAATTAGACACATGTTCAATTTTTAAAAATTTGAAATAATGATTATTATCCAACTTCTTTGTTTTTTTAAACCAGATTATCCAACTTCTTGGTAACATCAAATTTGCATATAATATTTTAAGTTCATATTCCTTCCCTTTTCAACAATTGATATACTATATTCTTTTAAATAAATTTAATAATTTTTCATTGAGTATAGAAACAATCGTGATTCTTTTGGAAAGAAACAAAAATACCTTTGGGATTTAATTTAACCAATAAGAAAATTGATAATGATTATTTTTTAAAATTTTATACGTGTGTCTAAATTGTATTGGGTCACATCAATTAGGAGATGAACTCCGAGAGGAGGACCCAAGTATTGTCCTCTATCTCTTCAACAATATCTTCCACCAATATTATCATGTGGATGCCGTCCTCACCAAATCAAAATATTGTTATAGATTCAATCTTTACATGACGTTGTCACAGCAGCACCAAAATAATCACCACGTAATTTGTCACAAAAAGGGTGTCAACAAATCCTGGGCGGGGTGTGTAAGGTAACTTAAATTTGATTAATTCTACTACTGTCATGCTCCTACTCCCAGCTTATGTGACTCGGTTTTTGATTAATTCTGTTGCTCTCTTGCTCCTGTTCATGAACTATACCCATTTAATTAAACAATCAAATACATATTTCACTTATTCATTTAGATCTCTAACAAGTATCATCCCTATTACAGTGGGGGTGGGACTGTGGGACTTGGCAAAAATTGATGAATAAGTTATCTTTATCAAATTTTAATATTTTTATTTTCTTTGTAAAATATATTTTCGTCACAAGAAAAAAATACTTTTAAAAAAATATTTTATATCCAAATAAATGGAGTCTTCGCGATAAAATTATATAGCATTAGATAGAACAGTATTTTATGTGAGTGATGAATAATGTTATATCCCCATTAAATATTTTTACTTTCTAATTGTGTATCACGACTCATCGCAACAATACATATTCTAAGCATATAAATTTCTCTTGTTATATGATAGTATTTAATCATCAATTAAACATTGAATGCTAAACTAAGTTGATTTCTCTGTATAAAATAGACCTGATAATGTTAAAATTGATATATATATATATATCAATTTTAACATTATGAGGTCTATTTTATATATATATATATATATATAATTTAATCAAATCCAAGCTTTGAAAACTCAATTAAAGGTAGAATATAAAGATAAAGCTGATCAAAAAAGGTAATTTTTCTTTTTCCCCTTTTTTTATACTTTATAATATCACGTTTATGTAAAAAAAAATAAATAAATAAGTATTTTTCTTTCTCCCCTTTGTTTATTCTTTATAATATCACGTTTATGCCATTAAATTCTGTTTCTAAGAGCCAACCGGTTGAGATGCGCCTACTTATGAAACCAGTCAAAATGACCATTCGCACCTTCTTTTGGAATTTTGACTAGCACACCACATACATTTGTCAAATTTTCAACCACACACTTGTCTCCTTATGAATTTTTTAAACCTATATCACATTTTAAGTTAGCTCCAATAAGATACTATTTAAATTAGTCCGCATATAAAAATTAAAGTCAAAATTTTGAAAGTTGACAAAGACAACCCTCGAAATTAAGTTGGGAGAATTGTTTACATTGGCTTTTGGTTGTCTTACAATTAAAAATGTGTCAGAAAAAAAAAAAATGTAATTAAAAATGTAAACAGTCTTTTTAGTAGATGAATCAAGCGAACGCCCATATGTGGTGAGGGTTCCAACGATTAAATTAGTACTTAATTATTAAATAAATGTTAAAATTTGTGGTGAGGGTGGAGTATATTCCAACGATCAAATTAGTACTTAATTATTAAACAAATGTTAAAATTTGTCTCTCCTCTTATCCAAATAAGTTGATAAGTCTTGAAAAATATGATTATCCTTATCTAATTATTGTTATCAGACTCCTAAATTATTCTAGCTTCCATATATCACATTAGTTCCTTAAAAGCTACACTTATTTGATTAGTAAAAATATGAAACTAAAATTTAAAAAGTATTATTTAAGGAAAATAATTATTACATCGATTTGTTACAAGTGAATTATTATACCTATTCATTTTAATTGGTCTATCCATAGAACAAATATGAAAATGATCCCTTCACTTACTTGTATTGTACATTAAAAAATATTCGATTAAATAATTCACTGTAACAAATCAAATCAGTGCAAATATCACTGCTCATTATTAATTATCTAATTCGAAATGTTTTTGTGGTCAAAATTAATTTTATTTAAAAAGGACATTCATGTCTAAAGAAAAACTCAACAAGTAGGCGAATAATCATCAATGAGAAGCCAAGTCATAGAGACGCACTAGAATTGAATGGTTAATCTCGCCAATTAAAGCCCAATTCAAGGGTATCTACGGAAAATGACCTCAATTCAGTAGTCAAATCACATGTTTCGTCCATGTTCATATATATCTCTCTCTCACTCACAGAGATCTCTCGAACATCTCTCTCTCGCTCTCTATCTCTTGCTAGTTCATTAGCAGTTTCTCTCTCTCTAAACTTTTTAGGTCAAGGTACGCCATTCTTCAAATTTAATTGCTCTGACTACTAATTTCTGATTAATTTTGTATTATCAACTCGCATTTGATTCACAATAACATTCTCAATTACACGATCATGAGGTTCAGATCAACTTAAATACTCTCTGATGAATTGTTGTCCGATGTTTTGCGTTTGATTGAACCCTAGCCTCCTCTTCGATCTTCAGTTTACAGAGCTAGTATGCTGAATTCAGATTAAGCTCTCTATGTAATATATATGACACTAACGGTTTGTAAACCGGTGCAGCATCCGGTTTAAACCCATTCATCACTATCTACGGTAACGGCATTGATTTAAGGAACTTCATCCACCTAGTGTGTGATCAGATGAGCGGTTTTCTTTGAGTAGAACTAACACTGTTTTATTGGGATATGCATTTTTGGCCTCGGGCAATATGGGTATGTTGAACTTTGATGGGTTAGGATGTTTTTAATGGCTTCTTTAGAGAGAGGGGGGGGACAACTAGACGGGATAACTAGGGAAGGTGGATAGAAACCGAATCTTTCAATAATCAAACAGTAGTTTTCAAACTTGTGATCATAATTTTCTATTAGGAACTTGCATTTGATTTATAAGAAAATTCTCAATTACACTGCAATCATAGGTTCAGATCAACTTAAATAATCTCTAATGAATTGACTTCCAATATTTTGGGTGTGATTGAACTCTAGCAGCCTATTCAATCTTCAGTTTACAGAGATAGTAGGCCTGAATTCAGATGAAGTTCTTCAATATTTGTCTATGTATATGTATATTTGTAGGTAGATTTTACTATTGATTTTTAATTTGAATTATGGCGATGTCTATGCTGGTGCAGTGGAATTGCTGTGAGCCATGGCGTTCTTTAGAAGTGTGTCCGCACTTTCAAAGCTACGGTCTCGTATTGTAAGTTATACACAATTGCTGTGGAATGTGAGAGATTGCTAGATAATTTCATTGGTTATAGATAGTTTATAATTTTTACTTGTTTAATTAGATATTCTATAATTTTCATTCATACTAGAATTGATTTTCAGATATATTTTTTTCTTTCTTTTCTGTTTACCTAATTGTTAGATAATTTTTTGTTTAGTTAAGTAGAAGTTCTTTAATTTTCATTTATACTGGAACCGAATCACTGATTGTTAGATTTTTTTTAATTATTTTTTACTCTATGTTTTACAGGGCCAACAGTCAAGTTTCAACGGGTCTGTACGATGGCTTCAAATCCAAACCTCTTCTGATCTTGTAATCTCTCTCTCAATGATAGTATACACACACACACGTGTGTGCGTTTGGAGTCGTTGCCTCTATCTTTCTTTGTTTATATATATTTGTGTTGAAATTCTTGGCACATTTATGTATGCGTAGTCACGCTACTAGATGTTCAGTATCTGTTATATTAGAAGAAAGACTTGCAAAATGTTAAAGTTAACCAGTAATGAAGTAGGTAAGCATAAAATTAGAAATAAATATGCTCGTTACTATATTTATAGATGTCAAAGTGGTGGAGGACCATTGGACCAATTGATGGTTTTACCATGCACCTGACCAGTCTCAGGCGAGCTGTCATATTGAATTAGACCACAAACTGTTCTATTAGGCTGTACTGCCGTAGGCAAGTTTATAGATGTCAAGTTTCAACGGGTCTGTACGATGGCTTCAAATCCAAACCTCTTCTGATCTTGTAATCTCTCTCTCAATGATAGTATATACACACACACACACACACGTGTGTGTGTTTGCAGTCGTTGCCTCTATCTTTCTTTGTTTATATATATTTGTGTTGAAATTCTTGGCACATTTATGTATGCGTAGTCACGCTACTAGATGTTCGGTATCTGTTATATTAGAAGAAAGACTGGCAAAATGTTAAAGTTAACCAGTAACGAAGTACGTAAGCATAAAATTAGAAATAAATATGCTCGTTACTATATTTATAGATGTCAAAGTGGTGGAGGACCATTGGACCAATTGATGGTTTTACCATGCACATGACCAGTCTCAGGCGAGCTGTCATATTGAATTAGACCACAAACTGTTCTATTAGGCTGTACTGCCGTAGGCTGTTTATAGAATGACAGCATGGCTCTCATGTAATGATATATACTAATGCACTTTTGCCTCATGAGTTCTTTTGAGAACAAAGAAGCCAAAGAGGCCAATGAAAAATTGTCCTCAATGTTTTGTTAAGTTTTAGCAACCTGGATATAGTATGATTTTCAGTGTGAAACAAAGTAGAACAACTTCCAAATAGTTCTGTAATTTTATCTAAAATTGGTAGCAAATCGAAACATTCAGATTCAGTTTTCATCGAGTGATCAAATGTGTCTTCTTTCTTCTTCTTCTTCTTGCTTTTTTTTTATTTTTTTATTTTTTTTATTTCTGTTTTTTTGGCATTTTGTGGTTGGTTTTATCAAGCAAAACACAGTTTTGTATTCTTATGTTTTGACGGTAGTTATAGAGTTAAGCAAGTACTATTATCACAGCCTAACTAGGTTTGAATTTCAAGTCCTTTGCATGAAGATGTCTGCTTGTTGAGAATTGAAAATCTATTTTGAATTTTCAGGGCCAAGTATTTAAGACTTGTAGGTGCGTAAGCGTGTATTAAAAGTGTGTGACAATGTTCATTGTCTGACCAAGTTCACAGCATAGAATTGTGGTCCTGTTTCTTTTCACCTGTACTGCATTCTCTTGCCTCTGATTATTTCCTACTGTATGAATATATATTGAAATGCCTGATGGCCCGTATTCTCTTTTATTTATGTCATGTAATTAAAGGTCTTAAGACTCCTAGCACACTATGGTATGATCCCAGCAAGGAAAAAAAATTCTGGAGTGAAAAGTTACAAATTATGCATTGGACCTACTAGAGCCCCCAAAAGAGCACACCTTTGATGGGTTGATGTTAATAAATTTTGCTTGTATTTGGAATTTGTAACTTTATTTTTATAATCAGTACTACTACTTACAAGAAGTTCTAATTATCTTACTGTTCCCTACCACACAGGACCTTCATTCTCAGCTGAAGGAAATGATCCCAGAACAACAGGTACATTCTACTAGATGTGACAGGTGTTTTGTTTACAATAGAGAGATTTTTCTTGGATCTTTTTTCCCCCTTGCTCCCTGATTTCTACACTTCTAGTGTGTTAAACTCAACCAGATTTTATTTTAAATGTCTCGTCTCCATTGGATTTGTTATTTGAGTTTAACCTTGTCCAATTTATATGCAGTTGCATTTCTCTCTCTCCCTTTTTTTTTGGCGTCATTGTCACGTTCTTTATTTGTTTAGTTGACCATATTTTTTGGGGGAAGGGATGTGTAATTTTGCAATTGGAACAACGTTTTTTAGCAATTAGCTTTACTAAGTTATAGTGTAATATACTCTATATTAAATGGGGCATGTTTATGCTGTAGGATTATGTTGTTTATACTTAAGATCCAAAATATTGTGTTGTTTTGTATTGGAAATCAAGTGTGATTGGGGTCCCAGGCATGGTAAACCAGTGACATTGGACTGCATAAATGGTACCATATGATAAAAGTTTTTTTTCTTACTAACGCTTCTGGTTAGATATGTACTCTCATATTTTAATTCAGAAAGTTGAACTTCAATACCTGAATTCAATTTTGTTATAGGAGCGCTTAAAGAAACTGAAATCAGAGCATGGAAAGGTTCAACTAGGGAACATTACTGTTGACATGGTAAGTATTGTTCTAATATCCATGGCAGAAGTGAATGATCATACTTTTCCCTGGTTATTGTGTGCTTGCAATGTCAGGAAACATGTTACTTATTTCTGTATTCATCTGTTACAATTGGAAGGTTCTTGGTGGGATGAGAGGAATGACAGGGTTATTATGGGAACCGTCATTACTCGACCCAGATGAGGTATATGTCCTGTTTACATACCTAGTTTTTTTTTTTTTTTTTCCTGAGATTTTGTTTGCAGTATTTCATGTTTATGAATCTATCTATATCCGCGCGCGCACACACAACAACAATTAGTTGGTGACTGCATGGTAACAAGATAAGTTCTTTTATTTTAACTGAAAGTTGGGCTTTCTCTCTCTTCCCCCAGGGAATCCGCTTTCGAGGTATGTCTATCCCCGAATGTCAGTCGTTATTACCAGCGGCAAAGCCTGGTGGAGAGCCATTGCCTGAAGGTCTCCTCTGGCTTCTTTTAACCGGAAAGGTATGTAGTCTTGGTGTTTGAGATGGGATGCCGTTATATATGTATACGGGGAAATAGGGGACAATAAGAAAGAGATACTGTAATTTGATGACGAGAATTCGCTAGATTTTGAGATCCTGTTTAAATATGGTACAAGACAAGCCTCACGTTTTGTCTTTGCCAATGTTACTTTATAAGCTTTGACATATAATCAAACCATTAACTCATTGGCTCTTCCTTTTTTCTGGATTTAGCACCTTTTTGTTTTTTCCTTTCTTCCCCTTCCCTTTATCGTTTTCCTTTATACAGGTACCGAGCAATGAGCAAGTACATGCATTATCCAAGGAATTACGAAGTCGTGCTACTGTTCCAGGTTCTGTAGCTTTTAATTTGTCTCTATCTGATCATAACTTGATGATCTGTGGGATGGTGTGGATACCACATTTTATCGTTGCAACTTGAGTTAATCTCCTTAGCTGGAGTTATTGTTTGTTGAATTCAATTTATACATTCTGTTTCTTACTTAATTAAACCTTTAATTATTATTTTTCTTTAAAATGGCATAAAAGGAAACGTAATTGAAATTTCACACCCCTTTCTATGGACTCTCTGGTTGATTGTGTTTTATCTCATTTCGTCAATTGAGACTATTAGAGAACTACACTGGCAAATTTGTTGTCGCTCTTCTAATTTTTTGACCGTTGCATCTCTTCAGTATTTTTACATGTCTTTGATTAGAGGTTCCACGCCAGCTGTCTACAAAAAATCCCCCTTTTATATGGTTTCTCTATCAGCACTGTGAGTGTTTAACACTATTCTGTGAACTTGTCTTTTGCTGTGGTTGCAGATCATGTGTATAAAGCCATCGATGCTCTACCTGTCACGGCTCATCCAATGACTCAGTTGGCAACTGGTGTTATGGCTCTTCAGGTTGATAGATGGACTTAACAACTTATTTTATTTTCATACTGCGCTGTATTATTTTTGTCAATGGTTCAAACTTGTTTTTGCATGTTCATGATCAATTTGAAATACTGGTTTTATATGCATCTCTTCATTATGCGCGTGGCGGCTTGGGACAGGCTTTTAAGTGTTCTCCTGAGTTGTATATGCTAATTGTGTTAAGCTCCTTCACTATCTAGAGCAAAATGCGAATCTAAAACAATAGGCTATATATGTCAAACATAAAAATTCTATTTTGTAATGAAGAGCATATTTTACTTAACTGTTTTCTGATCCGTAAATCATTCAAAATTATTTCAGCACATTAAACTTATTGGTTCAATTTTCCCATCAGTTTGTTAGGCAGGTTGGTGGTTTGGATAAAGGTACTATACTTTGGGTGATAGTTGGTGGTTTGGGATGGATGAATGCCTTATTTTAAATTAATTCCCTTTAGGCTCCATTTGTTTCGACGTAAAATATTTTTCTCATATAACATTTTCCATGTAAAATGATTTTTTTCATTTCATTTTCTGGTGTTTGGCTTAGAATCTGAAAATATATTTGGGGAAAATATAAATATATATATATTTGATAAGTATATTTGGGGAAAATATAAATATATATATATTTGATAAGTATATTTGGGGAAAATATTATTAGGGGTATCCACTTCCACCCCCATGAGTGGGAGGCACTGGGTTCAAGTCTTAGTTGGGATATATATACTCTTGATTGACTTTTTCACAATTTTCAGTTAGACATCAACTCAATTCAACCCCTGTTTGTTGTCTTTCAGGTTCAGAGTGAATTTCAAAAAGCATATGAGAAGGGGATACCAAAATCAAAGTGAGTTCTCCTGGGTCTTCCCTTCCACGGTTATGCAAACACCTAAGATTATTCAATTTTCAGGTACTGGGAGCCGACATATGAGGACTCTCTTAGTTTGATTGCCCAAATGCCAGTTGTTGCTGCTTATGTCTATCGCAGGTCAGTGGTGAATATACTTAGTACTGTTGATTTTGGACATGATCTATAATGATTATACATTATGGATTATAAAATTATTTCATAGGTGCTGTTTCATGGGTGCTAGACTGCTTTTATAAAGGCTAAGGATTTGATGTTCTTGGTACAATGATTTTATGTTTTTGTTCATTGCGTATTGTGTGACATTGTTGTTGTATGACATTTTGTTACTGTGTATGTTCGTGCATGCATGCGATGCCTCTATTTTCAGCTTTTTGTCTTCTAGTTCTAGCATTAAGGTCCATGGCTGCTTTATATTGCTTATTGCCTCTTTACATGGTGTTGTGTTTAGGAAGATTTGAATTATGTGTGGATTGACGACTTCCTTCTCTTTTTGAAGGATTTACAAGAATGGACAAACAATTGCCTCGGATGAGTCCCTAGATTATGGTGGAAATTTTGCGCACATGCTGGGCTTTGATAGTCCCGACATGCAAGAGCTTATGAGGCTTTATCTCACCATCCATACGTGAGTTTGCACTCTAATCATCCAAAATTTTATAATTTTTTTTCTCAAAAATATATAATTAGAGTATGTTAATGTGCTAATAACTTCAATTTTTAAATTTTGCTAAGACTATTTGCATAGAGGAATCTTTTACCTGACTCAGCAGACTTAAAAATGTGTCACGGTTATGTGACGTAATTCCTCAAGTTGCTAAAACCATGTCACTAGATAGAGCACAGTACCCCTCAACTAAGTTGTGACTTAAAAATGTTTTTTCATAATTTGTTGCAGTGACCATGAAGGTGGGAATGTTAGTGCTCACACAGGTCATCTAGTAAGTGACTTCAGCTTTTCCCTGTAGTTGAAACTAAATTTGTACTTTCTTGGATTATTGCATCTGTTTGTTTTACTTAAGTTCACCAAGTTTCACATCAGCAACTATGAAAGGCTGTTTATGTTTATAACCATTTTGGTCCATAACATGATTATGCAATTAGTAGATGCTGATATATGCACGGTTTCATGCTTAATTCAGGTTGCCAGCGCTCTTTCAGACCCTTATCTTTCATTTGCTGCTGCATTAAATGGTTTGGCTGGACCGCTCCATGGCTTGGCTAATCAGGTATTATATCTTCTTTGGGACATTGTTTCTTTCCATTTTTGTTTCTTTGAGAATAATTTGTCTAGTTATTTTTAGTTGGTGAAATTCATTTTATTTAAACTCCGCCTGCATGCACATGAATGCTTGTGGATAACTGGATATGATAGTTCACTAGAAGTTGCACAGCATCATAAAATCCATGAAGTGTTACAAAAATCTATCTGTTTGGGTGAAGCTGAGGATCCACTGCAAATTGATCATAGCTCAACCAACTTGTTCAAGCTCCATGTTCAACCAATTGAGCCAAGTTTAATTCACCCATTGAAATCTTCTGAGCACAAATGAAGAAAATACTGTCATAAGGTTATGCATATAAATGAAATCTTAAGCTTTTCCTCAAAAAATTGTGAAGATGGTTGATGCTCAGGGTTTTGCTTTAGTTTTGAGTTGCAGAGTGGGCTCCGGTCTTCTTTTTCAGGCCTTCTAAAGCCAAGGTAGTGTCAAGACATTGTGGTGGAGCAGTTCAAGAAAAAACTGGCAGGTTGAAAGAGGCAATATTTATCAAAAGGATGCAAACTCATTTTTATCAAAGATTATTCCTGTCATTTCAATTCTGGTTGGGGAGAGGTTTGAGAATCTGTAAAGGGAGATTTTTTATTTTTTATTATTTTTAAAGGGGGGGTGGTTATATGAAAAAATTATCTACTTGACTGAATAAGATTTAGTCTAATTACCAAAAAGGAGTGGGATTAGTCTATTCTGGGGGAAATTACAATCATTTGAAGATGTCTATTTTGAACAATGCACGAAGCAAATACTTTCTGGCTACCGAAGCCTGATCTCAAGATAATCAGTATTGCTTTGGGATTCTGTACCAAAATAAACCCAAAATATTATGTCCACAGCACCGATGTAGATGATACTTGTTGCTTTCAAGTTGGATTAGTAGGCCCAAACATTATTTGTACTGATACATGTTGCTTTCAAGTCGGATTAGTAGGCCCAAACATTATTTGTACTTGCATCTTATCATAGGAGGAGATGAGAAGTTAGTGGCCCAAATCAGGCACAACTAGACATATACTAGTGATTGGCTTTGACAGGGCCAACTCATCATGCAGCATTAAAAACCAGAAAATTTGAAAATGAGAGTTATTTTAAAAAATTTCCTATTTTGGAATTTATAATGAGCTTTTCTATTTTTGCTTCATATTTTTCTGATTTTATTTGATTTGTCGTCCTTACTTTCACCATAATGTGGTTACAGGAGGTTTTGCTCTGGATCAAATCTGTGGTTGAGGAGTGTGGAGAGAACATAACCACAGAACAGTTGAAAGACTATGTCTTGAAAACATTGAAGAGTGGCAAGGTAATATAGAACTTTTTGCTATATTTCCAAAGTTTTCTCTTGCAATCTTAAGAAATTTCAATGTATCCTATGCAATTCTATACACTATAGACATACCTGTTGAAGTAAAAATTTGAAACATGGCAATACTGATTTCTGAATTCAATGGTTAAATTTCTGTAGGTCTTAAATTTTGTAACACTTCGCATTTCTGAATCTTAATTGAAAGCAAACTCCAAGTGAGACCTTTCTGTCCAACTCCTTTCAGCTGGCTGCATATGTTGACTGTTGGGAAAAAAAATTAGTGTTCTAGTAGCTCAGTTCTCTACTTTTGCCTATTTTCTGTATATTTCTCAAGAAGGTCCACCCTTAGATTTGCTGTTCTCTATACTCGCTTCTACCTCACTGTTGGACTTCTCTTTTCCACTCAAAATGGAGCTTTTAAATTCACCTACTATTATCACCGTCCCAATTCAACTTTAGACCTTCTAAATGCCTTAATATGAAGACTATTAATAGTTTATATCTAATTTCATGTCCTTTACTCGTAAATTTTGCAGGTGGTTCCTGGATTTGGGCATGGAGTTTTGCGTAAAACAGATCCAAGGTACATGTGTCAGAGGGAGTTCGCGATGAAGCACTTACCTGATGATCCACTGTTCCAGCTGGTATAACTTAAGCCCTGATAAGATAATGATGACGTGCCTTTGTGTCGCATAAATAGGTGCATATTGCAATCTAATCATTTGATGATCTAATCTTACTTTTACTTTTATAGGTTGCAAAGCTTTATGAAGTGGTGCCTCCTATACTTACTGAGCTTGGCAAGGTAACTTGTTTATTTCTATATAAACATTGAAGTGAAGATTACTAGACATAACTCACATATAAGATACGCATCCTTTGCATAAACTCTTTGGATGTGCAATTACTAATGTATTCCTTACGTAATTAATGGCCAAAATAATAACATGAATGTTATTTTTGTTCCTTCCATATTTTTGACTGAAATCTGAAATCTATGCACTATAGACTTGCAATCTTGGACTGATGAGAATTGGAGTGGAGACCTGGATTGGCTCATTTGAAAGATGTTAATTACGGAAACCATCATAAGATGATTTTGAATTATTTCCTTTTCTTTTAATGCATCATTCTTTTATTTTAGTACCAAATTAAATAAAATATTTAATGAGATAATTCAAATTTCTAACTACTGAAAAGAGGATTTCAAATTTCTGCCATATCTATACCTTGTATGGGATTTGTCTATATTGCTTTTGAAACTTCATATCCAATTTTTTTGCCAAAAATTCATCGTCGATAATTTTTTTTAATTATTTTAAATTTAACTTCACATGATTCAAGGAGTGAGCTTTACATATTCTTTTTGGGATTGTTGTAGGTGAAAAATCCTTGGCCCAATGTTGATGCCCACAGTGGGGTATTGCTGAACCATTATGGCTTAACCGAAGCAAGGTAAGTTACTTGTTATTCTAACTGGTCTGTCGTGACCAGTGAAAGAGTTCTTTTAACCTACTTGTTACTATTTCTAAAAGATAGTAATCTCCTTAAAAATTAATCGTGACAGATATTATACCGTTCTTTTTGGAGTATCAAGGTCTATCGGAATTTGCTCTCAGGTTCTCTCTCGCTATATATATGATATCTGCTGCTTCTTTTTTAAATGTGTGCGTGTACTTGAGTTTCTCTGACTTGTTTTCTTTTGTTGTTTTAGTTGATATGGGACCGAGCTCTTGGGTTGCCGCTTGAGAGGCCGAAAAGTGTGACAATGGAATGGCTTGAAAATTACTGCAAGAAGACAGCTGCTGCTTAATCTTGAATTTCACATGCACAGAATATAGTATCGTTTTTCTCAATAATAATATATGAAAGAGCATAGATCTATGGGGGAAAGGCATGGTGGTCTAAAACTGGGACATTCACTGATGTGATTGTATTTTAATAGGCTTTAGAAATGGATTTGTTCTGGTGCTTCTTTCCCAAATTTTTGAATTTAGTCAAATGTATTTCCTATTTTTGCTTTCTTAATCCATGAATGATTGATTGGAGACCAGCTCTGTGCGGTCGGTGATTGTCTTCTCCGTTGTTGATCTTGAAAATGTATAACAGGTTAACACTAGACATCCTTTGGTCCCTTTTGGATGATTTGAATTTAAAGTTTTTCTTAAAGATCAGCGTGCAACCTGAAAGGAAAGTAATTTTCTTTTTTTCTTTTTTTCTTTTTTTTGTTAAATTGGTTTTCCTATTGATCAAGTATTCAAGTAGTTGATTGGTGTCTCTATTGCCTTGAGTAGAATATTTGAATCTTGATTGTCTTTCTCAAATTGGTAGAATTGTCAACTGATCATTGTTCCAAGAAATGCAACAATAAAAAATATATATTTATGGCATAGTTGCTCTTTAAAAAACTAGAAGTAATTAAAGCTTGCTTGGTTTGTAATTTTTAAAACAGTTTTCAAGAATTGAGGTAACAGAAAAATCTTTCTTAAAAGATAGTTCTTTAAAAATAGGACCTTTTAGTTTTTATAAAACGGTTTTTGGAAAATTGAAACAAGCAGAATATTTTTTGTACAATTTTTTATTTTCAATGAGTTACAAACCAAGAATGATTTAAATAAAATTAGTTTACTTTTTATCTCTCTTTTTTAAAACAAAATTAATTATCTCTAATGTTCTCAAATTATAATAATTATTATTACTGTTACTGTATAAAATAACCAAGAAGTCCACTAGTTGCGAATTGGAGACAGTTTCAATTTCTTGAAGAAAGTGTCAATTATTATCTTCTAAAGGAGTGCTAATTGAAGAAGGTGTGTATAATTAGGATTGATTAGTTTTGAATACATTAATAATTTTAAATTTTTATTTTTATGGGATTATACTATTATTATTTTTTAGACAAAAATACCCTTTTAAATCATTTAATCTTTCTTCCTCTCTTCTTCTCTCCTCTTTTTTAATAGGAAATGAGTGGTTAGTTATGTGAATGGATTCCTTCACCAAAAAAAAATATATATACGTATATAAAACTAATTTTGTATATATATTTTTTAAATCTCAGAATCTATCTTATTCTTTTTACTTCTTCTTTTTTGGATTTTTTTTCTATCTCTTTTTTTTTTTTTTTCTTCTCAGGATCCATTTCTTATGAATGGATTATCATATCTAACTTTTTTTTTTTTTTTTTTTTTTTCTTTTTCAGCATCCATTCACATCACATTAGTTGTTACACAATATGCACACATTCCTGTATGAATCGATTAAAATAAAAAATAAAAAATAAATAAAAAAACATATTTTAAAAGGATATTTTTATCTAAAAAATAATGTTAGTAAAGTCCCATAAAAATAAAAACTCAAAATAATTAATAAATTTTAAACTAACCAATCCTACACGTGATTACGAATAAACAATCGTTTGCGCCGACTGCAATTAGTAAGCTGATTGCAATTAGTACTCCTCATTCTATTTCTACATTTGTTGGGCATAAAATTAAATATAAAAATAAATACTGTAAATAAACATTACCGACGATAACCTACAAAAGACCATGGAAGTGATTGATTAGGGTTGTATAAAATACTGTGTAATTGGCACGTGGCATACTATGGCAGATAGCAACCATCCAATTCAATCTTTCAAGGGAGGGCCATATGCTTCTCAATTTTATTCACATCAGATCGTGTCCCAGTTTGTAAAGAATGGTCTCGCTTCGTTGTTCTGCCAGTCCTTTCCAATCTACCCTAGGGTTTCATCATCCGAGTTGCAGGGCTGACTTTCCCGCCATCACCGTCCTTAAGCTTGGGTTCACTATCCCTCCTACTCCTACCGCTTTGAATTTCAGGTAACCTCTTCCAATTCACACAACCTGTTGGTGTTTTCTTGTGTCTTTCAAGGTTTTTCTAATTTGATGTGATTTCATTAAGAGGTTTCTATGTTTCGGGTTTTCACTAATTGAAGTTAATTAGTCCACTTCACTGATTTCAGCCATTCTCATTGTTATTCTTATAATGTGTCTGTAATGGTACTTAACCCCTTATTTTCAGGCTGTGTTTTCGGCTTTATTAGAAATCTATATAGTGAACTTGCATATGTATGTGATTGTTTATTCCTAAGTTGAACATTGTTACATCATATTTCTCATTAATGTTTTATTTGATGAATAGATTTATCGCATTCCTAAATTGCCATGATGATGATGATATCTGATTAGTGCTTCTTTTATAAAATTTACCATCAAACTCTTTTTGCTACCTAACATGAGGGTTGAATTTATAATATTTTTAATCTGATTCTTGGTTTATTCTCTCTTTCTTAATTGTGTATCCTTGTAATTGTTTTAAATGTTTCTCTTTATTTTCATATACTCAATAGGTGATTTGTTTTTGTACATTTGTTTGTGCCGGGGAGGGCTTTGCATAACATGAGTAGGGTAGTCCGCATGTGTGTGGAGATTGTAGAGGAATTGAGGATTCTATATTCTATAACGTTGAAGAAGTCCGTAGATTAAAGATGATTCAAGAATGGTAGACATATATATAGAGTTGTAAATATGTAGATATATGGTGGAGAGTTCTAGATACTGATTTTAACCATGGATTATAATGCATCCTAGTTCTTCATTAGGGAGGGGATACCTATAAATAGGTGAGGTGTCATTTATAGAAATCAAGCTACAAAAGTAAGATTGAGTAGAAGAAGTGAGGAGACTGGATTGACCCGTAATTTTTTCTAATTATATTTTCATTTTAATTCATAGGTCGATGTAATAAAAAGTTATAAGGGAGAAAAGTAAACAAATATGGTCACAATGGTTAGGTAGTCCTAGATTTATGAGCTATCTAACCCCATTCGATCGATCAAAATTTAGAGAATTGTCTGCAATCACCTTGAAATAAGACAAATTGTTGAAAAAAAAAAGGCTCCAAAATATTGGAGAATTTGCTTTAATTGGCAAAAGCTGAAAAATTAATACTGAGTTCACTTAAAATTAACTTCCCTGTTGCTTTTGTGCTTGTGATCAGTTGGTTAACTTCTATGGATTCATTGTCAAATTGTTTATTAATTCTTAAATGTAGGGTCAAGAATGACATAAAATTGCAATTAAAACGGAGGTTGCTTAGGCCTTCTGCATCAAACACCAACCCTTCAGATGGAGACTCTCTCAAAGAAGAACCAGATGGTGGGAGAAAAACTGGTGATGCCACCCAAGGCCCTCCATTCCTTACTATTTTGGCTGGTTTGTTGGTCTTTTTTGTCATATCTTGGGTCATTGGTTCCATTGTTATGTGGCTGATTGGCCTAATTGTCCATCTGCCTCCTAAATAAGGTTGTGCTTTCAATGCCATCTCAATATTAAAAAAACTTGTACAAATTGCTATTAATCCTGGCTCAACTTATTCTATTGGATTGCATACTTTCCTCTTGACCTTGTTCCTAGAAATAAGAAGCACTCCCTACAAATATGTTGCATTTCTCTCTACCAGTAGTGATACAATATAGTTGCTTTTCCTATTTCCAACCGTAGACATGAGAAGCACTCTTGACAAACAATATGTTGCAGCTTCAGTCCATGGTGGTCTTTAATTCTTGGATATCAGTGATTATTCAGTATTGCTATTATGTCGATATCCATTTCAGCATGTGAAGAATTCACAGAAGTTTTTTGTTTAGCAGCATGGCAGGTGCACAACCTTGTTCTTTCGTGACTCTGATTCGGATATGAATCGGATATTTCTAGCCGGTAGGTTGAAGCAAATTAGCAGATCTGCTATTCTAAAGATAAAATTTGTTAGCACCATTAGATCATGCTAACAATAATTATCAAGTAAGAGGCACTTCTATTCTTCAAGCTTTAGTGAAGTAATCATATTGAAGTATAGGAAAGGAATGAATAAAGCAAACCTATTCGGGAAAAAATAAAATAAATAAAATGGAAATGTAGGATGTTTGCTATCGTAATCCAATAGAAAGAAGTGTTTTTAGCTCTAGGATAATGGAACCAGAGGAAGGTTCAGATACAATGGTCTCAAAGCAATCCTTTGTTCCAAGTTCCAACCCTTCAGTTTTCATACACATTCCATCTGGATCAGAAGATATGTTATGCCTGTCTAGAGAGCAACTCACAAAGAATGGAGCCAAAAGTAGAAATGGTACTTGTATGAAGAAGGATGAATCTCATCCCCAAATCTCACAACTAATCACATCGGACCAGACAGCAAATCAACATAAAACCTTCCATAATAATGTAGGAATTAGGACGAACCTCTCCATTGCCAAAGCACAAAGATTGGGGACAGAAGCATAAATGCATTAACCGCAGAACTTTCATAACACAGATAATTACATTTATTTGAGGCAAAGAGAAATTGAAAAAAAAAAAGACGACAATGATTTAATCAGACTCTTTTCCTTTCACTTCATGACCATCTTCGTCAATTGATGCTTTAAAATTACGCCTTTCATCAGAAGTAGCAGTGATGACGGGCATCCATGTATCAGCTGTACTACTCAAAAGAGACTGCACCTGTGGGTCTGCGGCCATGGCTGAGGATATCATCTCGTCCACGTCATCCAGCTTTGCCGATAATTTATCCAACTCCTTGGCTATCTCCATCTAAAGGGACAATAAATAATATATGCAAGAAACACACACAATGTTAGGTATCTGCACCGTTAAAATAGAAATCTTAAAAGAGCAAGAGAGTGTTGGACTAAAAAGCCATTTGAAAGTGGTCATAAATGAACCTCAAAACCACCTCATTAAGATCATTTGCAGACTTTGAAGGAACTTTCTTCACTTCCAATCCAAGTGCTTCTATTTTGGCACGCAATTCAACTTCTTCTTGATTGGTTAATGTTTCCACCTGCAGAAAACTAGTGGTGAAGAAGCAAGCAAGAAAAGATACATGCAGATGCATGAAATAGAGATGCCAGAATTTTTATTTAAAAATAAATAAAACTGGTCTAACTTGTTTTCCTTAGTATTATTATTAGAGTAATGCTATTAAGAGAGTTCCAAATCTCAAAAAATTGTCTCAATCCAATGGTTAAATTTGGAGAGCTCATGACTCGTCATGAGGGAGCTCTCTTGATAGCTTTACTCATCTTCTTGTTATTATTGCGGCGCACAACTAGTCCCAGGATGGTTTGGCCAGTTAGCCTGCAATTTACTTGAGCAATTAGAGGTTCTAGTGAATTTCTGACACCCTTAATTAAAAGGAAGCACCCAACTTTGTAATATTTAAGCATAAAAAGAACAACATGTGAACCAGTAATTACATGTAAAATTGGAGGTGGACGATTTGGGAGGAAGAAACTCGGGTGCTTGGGATATGAAGAACATGCATAAAAGTTAAAAGAAAATTAGACTTTCGGAGAACAGTCACAGCCCCAATAAATGGGGGGTTCCAGAGAGATCGCCAACCAGCAAAATGCTGCCAACGAGCCATTGCAGCCGTGATGCCGCCAGTGACGAATATAAATTTCTTCTTCTTTGACTAGGCCCTTACTTAATCTATAATCTGCACAAAGTTCTCTGTTTTGCACAGAATCGTTTTCAACCAAAAGGGACCCATTAAAGCAACTTCCTCCCCCACATGAAATTCCCCACATGAAATTCATTGTGCTTAGTAAAAAGAGAAGAGAAGTGAACACTGAGCCATTTCTATTTGAGATGCCACCAGACCTAATTTGTGGATATGGTTTAGATTGTGAAAATTCTAAGTTATATCTACCCTAATATGATTCCATCCAAATAAGAGACTAGGATATGACTAGCCATATTGAAAACATTAGACAAGGATACTCGGACATTTAATTTAGTTAGAAGTACTTAAAAAGTTTTAAATATCCAGTCAAGATATTTGAGCTCATTAAACAAAATCTCAATTCTCTCTCTATATATATGTGTGTATACAGTCACACACACACAAACACGAGTTCAATGTCTTGTGTGAAGATGTAACCCAATTAATTGTTTGTAAATTGCAACATTTTTTAATTTTAATCACATTTGTTTTTTGCTTAATGAATATCTTGCACATAGTTATAGCTCATTCGAACAAGTTCAATTGCTCATTTTTTTCCATTATGTGATCTAAGTGCTAGACACAAAGACTTCAATGGAGGGAAAGCCATGGGTCACATCAATGACACACTGAGACACACCCTAATTTTGTGAGGGTTGATGGGGAGGGCACAAGTTTGGGAGCCATCCAGCATAATAAGAAAAGGCTGTTGTAGCTCACGTTAAGGGATCTGTCCTCACTTGTCCTCCAACCTTCTCTTATTATTATGACCATTAGAGAGGATCACTTTTAAATTTTTAATTACGGACGGTGCCAAAGGCCCTAAACACATGTAAAGTATTACAATCATTACACCAATTTTGGAATTTTGAAGAGCTTGGCCGTAATTCTTTAATTTTTTATTTCTTCAGATATGCCCCCTATTAGAAGGTTATTACAACATTTAATTGGCAAATATATCAATTCTTGTTATGTAACCTACTTTGGATTATAGCCAACTACAATGAGCAAGGAAATTCTCTATCTAGAAATTCTTGTACCAAACCAATAAGAAAAGAAAATTGTATCTATAACTGAAATTGTATCTATAATTGCATATTTTTATTACACAACATCTCATGTTGACTATTTTTATTATTGTTAACCATAAGGAGCATTCGAAAGCAGCAATTCAAGTTGGACCCTTTGATCCTTATAGTGTGGCAGCTAGGTATAACAGAAATTGAAACAAAAAAAGGGACCTGCAAACACAAACACAACGGCGTAGCTTCGAACATTACTTTGCAAAAGATTGTCCTAAAGCTGACTACAACAGTTCTTGAGAACTGTTGCAGAATGTGAGATCTAAGAATTCAAATATTAAAAATCTCTATAAACAACCAAATTAGATTACATGGCTAATTTTGCAGATGGTTTGATTTGGGGAATATAAATAAATCGCCAAAGGAATCCTTCAATTCACCATGTAGTACTTTGATTTGAACAGTGTGAGCGGAAGGCAACATAAAAAACTGAAATCTAAGAACAATATGAGAGAAAACTAACATAAACATTTAAAATCTACATAAAAAAATAATAATAATAAAACCAAATTCAATGATCTAAGTGAAAACAGAGAATGTATAATCAATCAATCTCAAATACCCAGATCAGGAAATCATCAAATAACCACAAATTAATCTGTACATAATTGATCTCAACTACATCCTTTGCAACTTGTTACATATACATATATATATATATATATTGTATAAATATACGCGCACACACATAGGTACACATATATGTAAATTACACATGGGTACCTGCTGAAGGAGACCGGAAAGGAGCCTAAAGAGCTGAACATCGGGTGCCGCTGAGTTTCCTTCTTCGGCCATCTGATTCTTTGTTTCTTCGCGTGTTGTTGGGAATGGGTTTTCTCTCTCCTTTTTTACCTGTCTATTTTTCTGTTTGGTTTGCGGGTTAACTGAGGTTAGAGAGAGAGAGAGAGAGAGAGGAATTGTTCATGAGGAGAGGGAGGAAGTGGTATATTATTTTCTTTGTAAAAAATAAAATTATTAGATTGGAGGGGTCGAATTTGAAACACTATGAATGTGTTTGTGGGTGAAAAATATAGAAATTACTTCTCTTAAAAATAATGATATTTAAAATTAAGACAATACTTACTTATTTATTAGTGAATAAAAAACTTATATGTAATGTAAAATTAAATTGACAAATATTATTACATTTAAAATAATAAAAAATAAATAATTTAATAATTAATCGATTAAATTTAAATAAATTTGAATCAAATCTTAATTCTCTCTCCTACCTTTCTAATTTCATCCGCCTCTCCTTCTCCCTCCCCCTCTCTCCAGCGCTCTCATATTTTAGAGAGAGAAACTCCTCGAGCTCTGTGCCTATGCCGAAGCTGAAGTGACTCGTTCCTTCCTTCTTTCCTTCTTTTCCTTTCACAACTTTTAGAATGCACTCTTTTCTGAAAGCAAATCTTTATTTATTATAAAAGAAAACTTTGCAAAACCCTGGGCCGGAATAGTTATTAAATTATTTATTTTTTTATTATTTTAAATATAAAAATATTATTAATTTAACATTGTGTGAGTTGTGTCACATAAGAAAACTTTGCAAAACCGCTGGCAAGACCCGAATAGCTATTAAATTATTTATTTTTTATTATTTTAAAAGTAAAAATATTTATTAATTTAACATTGTGTGACTTGTGTCACATACGCAGTGAGTATAAGTTTCCTATTCATTCGTGAGTTGATAAGTATTGTCCTTAAAATTATACTAATTTTTTCCTTATTTTCTCTAATATATATAACATGAAAAAAAAAAAAATTGTTCATAAGGAAGTGTCATACTTATGAAAAAGAATATATATATATATATATATATATATATATATATATATATATATATTCTTTTTCATAAGTATGACACTTCCTTATGAACAATTTTTTTATTGTCCTTAAAATTATACTAATTTTTTCCTTATTTTCTCTAATATATATAACATGAAAAAAAAAAAAAATGTTCATAAGGAAGTGTCATACTTATGAAAAAGAATATATATATATATATATATATATATATATATATATATATATATATATTCTTTTTCATAAGTATGACACTTCCTTATGAACAATTTTTTTTTTTTCATGTTAAGAATATATATATATATATATATATATATATATATATATTCTTTTTCATAAGTATGACACTTCCTTATGAACAATTTTTTTTTTTTCATGTTAAACATGAAAAAAAAAAATTGTTCATAAGGAAGTGTCATACTTATGAAAAAGAAAAATGATTTTCAACATAACAATATGAATGTGGATGTGACTTTATCTCCAAAAGAATATTCATCATTTTTTTTACAATTTAAATAAAATTAAAAAATAATGACATTTAAAATTATAATTTTTTTTTCTTATTTTCTCTAATCTTGTTTCTTACTATATTACATAATAATTCAAAGGGGAAAAAAGTTGTCCGCTTGCCAAAAGTTGTCCACTTGCCATAATAATATACAGTTGTGTGATAATGTAATAGATATGGCTGAAATAATATCTCGATGGTAGAAGTCAATAGCTTTATAAAGTGGAACATCCTAAACTTAACCTGAATAATAATAGTCTCATAATCTGTGTGCGCGCTATATAAAACGTTTTTAAGATCAAGTTTATTGCAAGCTTAATGAAAAATCCCTCACAGTAATTTATTTCTATTTGAAATTCATTTTTAATTCCCACGTATGCATAATTGTCTGTCATGTTTGAGTTTTATTTTATTTTTTTCTAGTTATTGTAATTAGAAGGAATATATATATATATATATATATATATATATATATATATCGGGCAGAGTACAAAAAACCCTCCTCGATTTGCAGCATTTTTCAATAATTCCCCTGTCTAATTTTTTATCAAAGAATCCCCCTCAACTTGTAACCGTTTCTAATAAATCCCCCCTGTCTAATTTTTTATCAAAGAATCCCCCTTAACTATCTAAGGGGTGTAAAAGAGTTGATATTTGGACCAAAATACCCTTTTATTTAAATCTTAATTTTTCCGAACTTTAAAAATTCATATATCACAAACTTTACATCTAAATATTGCAAAGAATATATGCATGGAAAGCTTATAAAACAAAAATTCCAGAAATATAAGATTTGTTTAACAAAACTTCATAACTAGAGAAAAATAGGCAATTTAAAAATCTACTGCAACAATCTTATTTTATTTTATTTTTTATAAAATACTCTGGTTAATTTGTAAGAAAATTTTCAGAATTATTCATTTTCATATGGAGCATAACATATAAAAAAATTAGCCCCCATAGAGTCCAAATATTCATTTTTATATTTTTTTGAATGGCAATTCTATAAAAGAATGAAAATACTTTGACACAAAATATGATATCTCATTAAATTGATCTCTGTTGGGGTTAAATTTTTTATATATTCGTCTCCATATGTAAATGAATAATTCTGAAAATTTTCTTACAAATATCTCAAGTATTTTACTTTTAAAAAATAAAATAAGATTGTTGGAGTAGATTTTTGGATTGCTTATTTATCTCTAGTTATGAATGTTTGTTGTACAAATCTTATATTTCTGGAATCCTTATTTTATAAGCTTTTTGTGCATATATTATTTATAATTTTAAATGTACGGTTTGTGAGATATGAATTTTTGAAATTCAGGAGAATTAAGATTTAAATAAAAAGGCATTTTGGTCCAAATATCAACTCTTTTACCCCCTTCAGATAGTAGAGGAGGGTTTTTTAGTAAAAAATTAGACAAAGAAAATTTATTGAAAAAATGATACAAGTCGAGGGGGGTTCTTTGGTAAAAAAAAATAGATAATGGGGTTTACTGAAAAAGATTACAAGTTGAGGGGAGTTTTCTGTACTTTGCCCTATATATATTCAATACTTAAAAAGATTATTTAATAAGCAAGAAATTAGGACATTCACAAATACTCATAACGTTTTTACATGTCAATTGAGTTTCATGACCAGCTATTCTTCAATTGCACCTTCGTATCCCTTCTATGGCGTTTGATTAGGTACAAATGCAAGATCTATACAACAATTAAGAATTAGGACAATCTAGTACCATGGATCAGCAACCTGTGAAAAGCAAATACCCCTACTAATCTACACGGAAAATTGTGCTTCTCTACACTAATGTATTATACTTGGGAAGAGAGGAATGTCCAAATTTATAGAAGTCAAAAGGCTTCGTAAAGGGTCGTCTGTGTTAAGATTTCCTCCACCATTGCTGCAATTTTGAAGTTGGGATGTCTTGGAAATTGCTCTTTATCAAAATCGATTTTGATGGAATGGAATATCTCCCCGTCTTGTTGCAGACTGTCCCCATGTCCACCGAACTATGTTAAGGTAGCATAATCGCTTCAATAATATCACCGGACTGAATTGATGATCCTCCGGCTTCTTGCCGTTACTGGTAGTTATTGTTCAACTTATGTTTTGGCTTTGTCCGATACATGGACGTTATCCTCGTGCTGGGCCTTGCCCTTGCAGCCTATGGGCTTGTAATTTTCCTTTTTGGGCCTAAGGCCCACTTTTTGTATATTCCTCTTATCTATTAAAGTTGCTTAAATTTTTTAAAAAATAAAAAATCTTTCTACAAGCAGTAAGAATTTAGTATCGTAAAAGTACTAACCCTAGTTGATATATTACACAAAGAATACGTTAAAAGGATTTAGTTGGTGTAATGTAAATCATATGATAAGAACCTTAAAGACTAAGATGACAGATTTGAGTATAAAATTGGTTCAAGAAAGAGTGACATATGGTCAAGAAATAAGTGGTGACAAGAGCACCTCATGTGTGACTTATTCAAACCGACAACTAAGAGATTCAATTGAATACTCCAAATACCATGATTATTAATTTAAACATAATTTAACAATTTCCATAATAAGAATTGAGCATTATGAGAAGATTTTTATTTTTTATTTTTTTTCCCTACTAGTCTACTCCGCTCATCATTACAATTAAAATAAAAGTAAATTCATTCAATAATACTACGAAATGTTTGTCATCTTCTTATTGGGTACAAGCCAACACTCGCAAATTATACGTGAGACTATCTCTATCATCATAAAAAAAAACAATTGGAAAATCATCTGGACCCACATTAGCCCACACATGGCCTTGTCCTTGTCCTTTTTCCACAAGCTTCATCCCTATCTCTAATCAACAGTACTGATATAGTATCATTTGATTTAACATCTACCAAACTTCAATAATTCATCATCACTCCTTTAGAATGTGGGAGTATAAATCTTCCTTATAAGACAGAATTACAGCAGTTGTTGTTATCTATGGATTAGCTTTTTGATATTAGTGCATCACAAAACTTTAGTGCAGACATCCTTTCATGGCTTTAAGTTCTTTAACTCTCTCTTATCCCTATCCCAAAAATATATAATAAATAGTAAAGTTTGAAAACAAAAAGAGAAACACATGATAGAAAATTTGGACTAGTTTTATCTAAGTATGACTAACGGATATTTAATGGGACAATTTGATTGTCTGTTTTTAATTTTTTATCGTATGCGGGCCTTATCAGGGTAAGTTAATTTCTCACAATCTGTGCTTATTCAACTCAATAAACATTTTTAATGAAAATAAAGTCAAGTATAATTCATCAATTAAAGTTTTATGTAGATTTTAAATTGATAATCCTAATGTTAGAAATGTTAATAATACCATGATGACCTCAATTCCACCCACATGGTGAAAGTTGTTCGAATTTGACTCCAAATATTTGACTTTTATGTAAAATTATAGCAATTGCATGTACAAAAACTTACTATAATAGATAGTATATAAAATGAGAGGGTAATTGCTGTTGCCATGGCCATTTTGAATCCTTGTAGGGAAGACATCCCCTTTATGGCTTAAACTCTCTCTCTCTATCCAAAAAAAAAAAAAAAAATTAATAATAATAAATAGTAAAATTTGAAAACAAAAAGATAAACACATGATAGACAATTCCGGCTACTTTCATGTAATTGGGACGTTACAAAATTATTTTTGGCCAGTAGCATTACAAATTATTATACCACCAAGTGCAAATGATAATTATATATATGATGTTGACTAGTATTGTTGCTCTAATGATAACTTGTTAATAAAATTCATGACCTAACGGTATATTCTCTCATTTTAACACAAAAGGTAGAGAGTTCGGAACTCTTTTAAAACTTTCATAAGTGAAAAGTAGAGAGTTTGAATCTCCTTACAAAAAATAGGTTTTTACAAGGATTAAAAAAAAAAAAAAATAGAGTCCCATCTATAATTATAGGGTAAGTAGTCCTAGATTAATTTTTAAGTTACATGATCTCCCTAAGTTTCTTTAGGTTCAAGTACATGAAAATCTTTCTAGCATAGATATGAGAGATTTTTTTTTTTTTTTAGTATTATCAATCAATTATTATATTATCACGTGCATTTGTTTTAATGTCATAATTTAATCAGTTAGCAGTAGTATGTTATTAATTTCGCATAAACATTAAAGTATTTATTTAGATATGGTATGCGTTCATGTGTGTTTGTGTGTGTGACACACACCTTGAATAACTTGTCCTACATTTCATTTACTTCGACCGGTCTCTCGGTTGTCCTTTTCTGCGTTATAATCAAGCTTATCACATATCTTTACATGTAACAATTCATAAGTCATCCTGACTCATCCATGACAAGTCTTTCTATAATCAACAACATACACCCATCGTTACTATTCCATTAGGGTAAGTTTACAGTAAAAAATGACTAAATTACTCCTCCAAAGCAAAAGCATACTAGTACTTCAACACTATTACATAGGATGTGGCATTTTTGTAATTATGTTTCACATTTTGTAATTTTTACTAGCTTTTGCTGTTACGCGCGTTGCTGTCCTTCGTGTCAGTTAGGTAGCTCTTTGGAAGAAGCACCGTCCCTTCTCTCTCTATACACATATATAATATACACACTGATTTTTCACTCTGTGAAACTGATACTTTACCTATTATCTTGTTTCTCAGTCAATGAACAGTTGGAATTGATCATTTCTACGATGTAAGCGACTGTAATCTGAATATTTGATCGTTTCATCATCATCTGGTAATTTTTGTACTCTGCTTCTCTTTACCACAATCGAGTTCGCATGACTTATCTAACTTTCTCTCTTTGATTACAAAGAAAGAGAAAACTCTGTTGCAAACTTCCCATTTCCCATTTGAATTTGTCATTTCTTCAATAACCAGACAAAGTGTTTTCTAATTCAGTGTAATTGAAGCTTTTTGTGATTTGGGTTTAATGGGTTTTGATTGTTTTTCAGATAACTCAGAATAGGAGTTTTAAGTTATATTGTGAAGGGTTTTAACAGAAAAATGGCTTACAATAGAAGGGGGTCTGATCATTTGAATTTCTCAATTCTTCAATAATCAGACAAAGGGTTTATAGAATTCAGTGTAATTGAAACCTTTGGTGATTTGGGTTTAATGGGTTTTGATTATTTTTGACAGATGACTCGGAAGATGAGCATAAGTTATATTAGTGTAATTGAAGCGTTTGGTGATTTGGGTTTGATGGGTTTTGATTGTTTTTGACAGATTACTCAGAAGAGGGGTTTTAAGTTATATTGTAAAGGGTTAACAGAAAAATGGCTTACAATAGAAGGGGTTCTGATCAGCCGCCGACGAGGCGGATTTTGCGGACACAGACTACAGGTAATTTAGGAGAGTCTATGATGGACAGTGAGGTGGTGCCATCATCTTTAGTTGAAATAGCTCCGATTCTTCGCGTGGCTAATGAAGTCGAACCCAGCAACCCCAGGGTTGCTTATCTTTGTAAGTCACTTGCACTTATGTATTCACATGTTTCAAAGTAATTTATTTAGTCTCTTTGATCAGTTTAATTTTGGAGCTCGTAACAAAACTTCGATGCAGTTTATTTCTGACTAATTATGCGAGATGGTACATCATTTCTATTGTTATTTTTCCTTCATAATTGGTGTTGCTTGTGTTAAAATGAAGATTTTCGGGGAAAAAAAAAAAAAATGATTTTTTCTGTTAATAGTAGAAGTTCCAGAGGCCTATTTAACCGCATTGCTAGGGCATGTTTGGGGCACAGTGTGCAGACATGGAGTCTCTGTCTTGCTTAAGCCCTAGTCGGATTATTCCTTTGTATACTTTCTGTGAGAGAAGTAATAAAGGATGGGATTGTTTTTTTTGGAATTTTAAAGGTTGGGATTGTTGTCCTGTATATTGTGTATGCCTTGTTCATTGTGTGCATTGTGTGGTGTGTGGGCTGAGACTCAGTGGGCAACCAAGTGTCATTACAAGGGCAAAAAGTTAGGTGAAAACTTGACCTTGAGTCTTTCTGTATTTGTTAAATACATATGCAGCCATCGAATGTATATGTTTAATTGTCTTATGGGAAGTGAAGATTGTTAGGAGCCTATTTGCTCTGTTGGAGCCACCTACCATTTCTAGTATTTTCTCATTCGGGTACCTCTCCATAGCCTATTGCATCATTGTTCTTGCTTTATACCTCTTGCATCAGTTATTGAGGAGTATCATATTAATTTAATTTATTCACTTCCTATTTTAGTGCTTGAGTAAAGGTCTGGATAGCTAATGGTTTATTGTCTTCTCTGTTTGGTAATGGTTCCATTGTTTTCTGTTCATTATATATCTTTCCTCTGAATATATGTATTTTTTAACAATTCCACTTCCATCAGTACCAGTGCTTGAAATGCCGTTTGACATTTTTCCATTTTGCTAATTGAGAGAGTGATTGCCAGTTCCACAGGGAGGAATGACCTCTACCTATTAGATCCACATTCATCTGGGGTAAAATTCAGTCATGGGTGCTCTTTGAGCCGATGGTTATGATTTTCTGTTTATGGGTTACTTCAATGGCATAAGAGACTAGACCATCCGCCCCTATCATTGTATACAAATGTTTCTATGTTGAACTTTGCTAGTTATTTTCAACTCTCATGTGAATTTATGAACTTGCTAAACATAGTAGAATTAAATTATCTCCAAGTTCAGATAGGAGCTTCACTCTCATGGTTTAGATTCAGTCTGATGTGTTTGGTATCCATAATTTGACTCTGTCTGAATATGAATGGCTCTTCACATTTATTCATAGCTTTCTTGAATAACATCGCCGTATCTTTCGAAGGAGAATGGTGTACTTCAAGTTTTCAAGAACTTCCACAAGATGGTTTCAACCCGGTTTGACACTAAAATCGTACAATTTGGGTTTTGGGGTGTTGGGGAAGCACATGTATGGTGGTGGCTTTCCATCATATTTTATTGAATATACCTTCCTTCATTAGAAAATCTGTGTTGATAACCCATAAAATGGAATGGGTGAGGGAAAGAAGATCTCAGTTGGTACAGTGAAGGATATTGTTTAGATGATTTGTTTTTTTTTATTTGGTTTTTGTTCTTCCTTTTTACTCATGGATCCTTGTTTTTGGCTTTTGCCTGTTGTATGATGATTCATGGTTTTACTTTTTCAAGTTCCTTTTGAGCTTTATCTCTTCCTTGCTTACCAGAGTATAGGTCAGATGTTTTACCATGGGTGAGAATGTGAGAGTACTCTATTATATTGCTGTTCTAAGAAGGAACTTCTGAACATTAATGCATATCTAAACTTTGATGGCTGTGCTGGAATCAGGTCGGTTCTATGCCTTTGAGAAAGCTCACAGACTAGATCCAACATCGAGTGGACGTGGAGTTCGTCAGTTCAAAACTGCTCTGCTTCAACGCCTAGAAAGGGTATGTTGTGCTTTCACTTGTACAATGGATGTGCTCATTACATTTTTTTAACCTATTTTTCTCATACAAACTGAACTAATAAGAATGTTGAGATGAATAAAAATTGACACATTTAATTTGAGAGCTAAGTTTTACCCCTTGCACAGCCTTCATGAATATATTTTCATGGCATTCAATTTTAGGTGGCTGGAACAGGAATATTTTCTTGTAATAGTTAAGGAACACAAAAGTACTAATTGATATATAGAAGTAGTAGGAAACCACACAACTATTTCATTTGATATATAAATAAGTGCTAATTTGGTCTTTATGAAACCCTTCCACAAGCTGAAGATTAACACGCTGTCCTCAAACAAGAAAAAAGAGAGGCACATAAGAGGTTAATCGTTGATGGTCTCCTCTACATGGAGTGTTGGGAGAAGAAGATTGGAGAGGATCTAGCCTTGGGCATTATTTTTGCATAAAAGCCATTAGGCTTTTGTGTTATTTTTGTACCAATATTTCAGCTTCTCAAATCTAATAGTCACAGACATGTTTGCCAAAAATAGGTGGACTAGATTTCACCATATTTATTTTTTAAATGCTTCTCTTGCTGTATTAGTCTAACTAAATGGACCAAATTTCTTGCACTCTGTGATTGGCACCAGAATGGTGCTTAAATTTTGAATAGATGACCAAAACAGTAGGTGTTCCATGAGAACTTTGAACTTCACAATATTAGGATGGGTATTAGAAGAAATAGGCAAGTCATCAACTATGGCTTTGACCTTGTCACGGCTCGCTTCCACACCTTTAGAAGACCAACAAGGCACAAGAGATACACGTCTCATAATGGTACACCTTTTCAGGTCGATGTAGAAATCAACTTTAAAAGTTTGTGATCAATGCTTTAGTTTTTGAATGGTCCTCATTTTATCAACTATAAATAAGAATATCTTCTAAATGCAACACTGACAGACATTCCAATAAAAGAATATATTACCTGCCTCATATGCTGCAAGAAAGTGCTTGGTGCATTGTTAGCGGAAAGGTCAGGACTAACCGCTCATGTGAACCATCTTTTATCCTGAATGTTGTTTTGTATTCCATCTTCAGGGTGGATATATATTTGATGGTCCCTGTTTTTTAAAAAAAAAACTTTGAGAATATTTGCTCCCGTTATCATGTTTGGCATGTTGTCAAGTTTTGGATCCTAATTTACTCTCTTCCCTCTTCACCAAACACAGAAATGTTAACTATATCAACTAAGATTGCATGAAAATTTGCATGTCTTACCAAGTATTAATGATAACCCTTGCCCATCATGGTAGTCTCTAGAGGCATTTGCTATGAAAGTTGTTCATAATAACCAAGCTACAATAAGACCACTGCGATACCAATTCAGACACCACAAAAAGTCATTTTCTTAAAAACAGACGCATTATTGTTTGAAACTTCAGGAACCAAAAAAACAAAGAGAGGAGGAAAGAAGCCAAATACATACTCTGTTTACATGGATATAATCTTAATTAATTCACAGAGAATAATATTGTTTTTGAATTTCTTATCGATGTGAAAAATGATTCATCTTTTTTAAGTCAACTTAAAATTATGTCTAGTTGTTATGTTCCCTAGTTGCACGTTATACAATGGTTTTTCTAAGATGGTGAATTTCAGTTTGTAACGGTGTGTGTTGCTAGTTGTTTTCTTTCTTAAAATAGTCTGCTTTGCAGTAAATGACTTGCATGAATGTTTCTCTTTACGCATCTATTGTCGCAACATACCTTTTCCTCTTTTCTAATAGGGCTTGGAGTTAAAAGATCAATAAACCTTTGTTCTTTTCAGGAAAATGAAATGACCTTAGCAGGAAGGACAAAAAGTGATGCTCGTGAGATGCAAAGCTTTTATCAGCATTATTACACAAAGTATATTCAAGCTCTGCAGAATGCTGCTGATAAAGCAGATCAGTAAGTTGTTATTGAATCACATTCATATTCTTTTATCTGCTGAAGATGAAAGTTTACTGCATTATGCTTTGTCTGATAGGATTCTTTTTCTCCCTAATTCAGTGCTCGTCTTACAAAAGCATATCAAACTGCTGCTGTTCTGTTTGAGGTTTTGAAGGCTGTTAATCTGACAGAAGCTGTTGAAGTGGCTGATGAGGTAAGACAAATGCTTTTGCTTTGATAATTCTGAAGAATGTCAATTCTGTGAAGGCATGGGCAGAGCCACATGGTTATGCGCCGGGTCAGCTGACCCACTGAAACAAATATTAAGAGAAAGTCACACCTTTGAGCAATTAATCGTTTAGATTTTATCTTCTTTGCTCACTTATATAGACTGGCACAACATTTTTTTATTTTATTTTTTCTGTTTATGCTTATTATTCTGTTGTGATGAACTGAAATTGATTTACTATAATTGTTTGTATAGACAATAGGAACTGAAGCTTTGGGTCCTCTATAGTAACACGGAGTTAGCATTAGGTAGAGACACCAGTTATGAAATTATTAGGTTTTCACTGTTTGGCATTTTTTAACTTCTTAAATCATATGTAAGTTTCAATCATCTATTTACCATTTAAAAAAATTTCATTGATTTCATAAATCTGATAGGAAATAGAAGTAGACTGTTATAACAACATATTTTTGAACTACCACCAAGGCCTGTGGCCTAGTGATATCTCCTCTCCTTTCAAAAGTGAAAGGTGGAGGGTTCGAGTCTCCCCAAGTGCATGGTGGGAGTTATTTGTCAGGACAACAACGTATTTTGAACCTTTCAAAAAAGGGGGGAAAAAAGTATTTTGAAGATGGTTTTTTTTTTTTTTTTATTCAAAAAAAAGAAAAAGAAAAAACCGTTCTTGATTGAAGATTGTTGATATTTGTAAATTATGTAATTGGAGATTGATGTTATATATTAGTTGTAGATTGACCTCAGTGGAAGAAGATTTTGGTTCACCCTGATTGAAGCAACTATTATCACAAAAATGTGTTATCCAGGCTAATAACAGACTTGCATAAAATACTTTCGTGTGCTTATGATAGTTATCTTGCATGTTGATTGTTGATGTAATTACTGCTTTTATTCAATTTCTGTACATGTTTATGTATGTAGATTTTGGAAGCACACACTAAGGTTGAAGAAAAGACAAAGATATATGTACCTTATAATATACTTCCTCTTGACGCTGATAGTTCTAATCAGGCAATTATGAGATACCCTGAGGTTAGTTTACAATTTCTTATTTGGTATTCTTGAGTTTTTTAAAGTCTAGTATTTTGCATACTGTTTTAAAACCTTAATTATATAATTTTACAGATTCAATCTTCTGTTGCTGCGCTTCGTAACACCAGGGGTCTGCCATGGCCCAAGGGCTACAAGAAAAAAGTGGATGAAGACATTCTTGATTGGCTTCAGGCTATGTTTGGTTTTCAGGTGACTAACTTGTTGGTTATCATTGACTTATTTTCTGATGTTTCATGACCAAATATGTTCCTCTTGTAATTAATTGTGTAGAAAGATAGTGTCACAAATCAAAGGGAGCACCTAATATTGTTGCTGGCAAATGTGCACATTCGACAACCAAAGCTTGATCAGCAACCTAAGGTAAGACACACACACAAATAGTGTTGGCTCATATTTATACTTTTTAAAAGTATTTATTCACTCATTACATAGTTTTATAATTTCACCATAAATTTTTCTTGTTTAGTTGGATGACCGTGCACTTACAGAAATCATGAAGAAACTTTTCAAAAACTACAAAAAGTGGTGCAAGTATCTGGGTCGCAAAAGTAGTCTTTGGTGAGTGAAAGTTCCGATTTGCAAATCAAATGAATTCATATATATGTATATATGTTTGATTAATATTAATTCTGAATGGAGTGGGACTGTTCTCTTATGAGTTCCAGTTTTCTTCTGACATTATCCTTGGTAGTTCATAGAATTTATTATTATTATTTTTTTTTGGGTAAGTATATTACATATTGCCTTTCTGGTTTTGTTGAATTTAAATTTTATATTAACTTGATATTTTTCATCACACTGTTGTGTACGTTGCTCTTGTTACTTGCAGGTTACCAACTATTCAACAGGAAGTGCAGCAGCGCAAATTGCTATACATGGGTCTATATCTTCTAATATGGGGGGAAGCTGCAAACTTGAGATTTATGCCAGAATGCCTTTGCTATATCTATCATCATGTATGCATTGAAATGTTACTCTTTTCGTTCAATGTGACTTACTTTAATATAGTAAAATATTTTTGCTTCAAAGAGTCTATTTAGATTTTCATTTGACATGTATCTCTACTTTTTGCAATTATTAAACTGGGAAATTCTGGAGAACTTCAATTTTGCTCATAATCCTTTGCACGCATGTTTAGAATAAACAAGTATTACCAATGGTTGTATTGGATTAAGGTCTACTATGTTTCAATGTAACATTGTTCTTTAGTTTGATTAGTTATGATTGTTTTAGATTATTTTAAAATATATATTTGATGAATACACAATTTCAGATATTTGGGGTTGTAATCTATATATACCATAACTTGGGTTAGAGTCAATACTATTATCCTTTCTTTTCGAACATGGTGTTTAAAATCTCAGGTTTCTTTTTTCATGTTGGCAGTGTCTTTACTGCATGGTTAGATAAGCTTTTGTGGTTTTGATAGTCTGATGAGATAAATGTTATATCTTTTGTTTGATCTTCTTTGTCCTGTCAGATATTGTCCTTAACTAGTTCTTTAGCTTCTTTGATATGTGCTTCCAGTACTGCTATTATCCGTTTTTCAACTACTTGTGAATTCGTAATCTGTTCATTTATAGTTCCTGTTTGTGACCTTTTTGTCATTGCCCCCATGTTGAGCAATTGTTACTGCTGCTGGTTCATCACATTCACACTTGCCATTGTTTCCCGTCAATTTAGCTTGTCCAATCAGCAAAAGTGTTCTCATTGTGGCTAGTTTTGCCAACTTCAGTTTTCTTGTGTTCTAACCTGTGTAATTTTTGTCATCTCTGTTGAGGCTTGATTTACTGTGTGAAGACGCGTAATAACTTCTTGTGTGAAAATCATGTATTTAACCCCTTATTTGAAAACTAAACAGATATAGTATAATGTGTAAAGTGTTGGAAGATATATTTTTTCCCTTGATTTTCGGGATTAGATTGATTTCTGACTGTTGTAAATTAGAACAAGTTTGTAGAACAGATTGATTGCAGTAAAATAGGATAGATTGATTGTCTTAAATTAGGAATAGATTGTAGGAAGATTTTTTATTCTTTTCCTTCTATAGCTTTCCCTCGTTCCTATATATACTTGTACAAGATGTTAATGTATTATGAGAATATTTACAGAGAGAAAATTTCTACATGGTATCAGATAGGGATGACAATTCGTGTTCGTGGGTCATAATCGTGTCGTATCGATGTAAACTATTATACTAAATAGGTAAATCCAAACCCGACCCATTTAATAATTGTGTCAAGAACCCTCAACTCTAACCCAACCTGTTTATTAAACAGGTAAACGTGTTAGCCCATTTAATGACCTGTTTATCAAAACGAGACATTTAATATTTAATCAAATAATAAATAATAGAAAAAATTTGTGACAATTAACCCAAATATTCAAAATAAGAAGAAAATCATAAGGCGTAGGCAAGGTTTATGTTAAAATGACTTAACTATCCATAGTAATTGGGTTCAAACAGGTAACATATTACATATGTCATATTCACGATTATAACATGTTGAGTTAAACGGGTTACCCGGGTTGAACCCCTCAACTCTAACCCGACACGATTAAGTAAATGGGTTAATCGTGTCAACCTGTTTATGATCCGAATCCGTTTAAGGTAAACCCAAACCTGCTTATCTCGTGTCGTGTTGGCGGGTCGTGTCATAATTTGCCACCCCTAGCATCAGAGCAACAGTGTGAGAAAGAGAGAATTTTCACGGGTCTGAGCAATTACCGCTGACCTATTCTCCTTGTCCTCCCATTCTTGGTCTTTTGGTGTGCAATTGTCTTGGACAACACCCTAAAGCCTCGATTTTAAACACCATAGACATCGAACATGTCTATCGTTACCTCTAAATCTTCTAATTCTAGTACAACACCGCCCATTCCTTTTACTATAACAAATCAATTTGATAACATGAGTGTGCAGATGACTTCTTACAAACTCGATGAGACATATTATTCTGCTTGGTCCCAATTTGTGAAGTTGTACATCACAGGAAAGGGAAAGTTGGGGTACTTAACAAGAGAGAAGAAACAACCGGCGGATACTGAACCTTCCTCTCTACTTGGTTGGAGGAGAACATCTAGGCTCTGATACCATGTTGTAAAGCATGAAATAAAAGTGAAGAGATAAATAAAACAAGTAGGAACATGTGGGAAAATAAGATTTATTAGTTGTGTAAAGGCTGTTAATAGCTAGGGATTTATTGGTTGTGTACAGGCTGCTGTTAATAGCTAGAGATTTACAGGCTACAGGCTGTTAATAGCTAGAGATTTATTAGTTATTGCAATCCCTGATTTCTAGGGATCAGTTTTTATTAGCTTCCTATAATAGCATTATTCTGATGTATATATAAGAGTGTATTCCCAATTCTTTAATCAATTGATTTGATTACCAATTTCAGTAATTTTGTCATGGTATCAGAGCTCTAGGCTCGTTTTCTGGGTAATCGTCTTCTCTTGGCCTTCTTTGCTAGTTCTTTTTTCCTAGTGTTCTTGTTCTATGAAAATCCAGTGTTATCAAACCTGTGGATTCCATCTCTCTCTCTAAATCATGTCAGCATCTACTGAAACTAGCAACACTTCAGAGATTCCTGTAATTGGAAGCAACAGCTTTGTCCCAACAGGAGAATTGCAGAATATCCAGGCAGCGTATAGATTGAACGGGAAAAATTATCTGAAGTGGTCTCAAATGGTCCGCATGTTCTTGAAAGGAAGAAGGAAACTGAGCCACTTGCTCGGTAATGGTCCAGAGAAGGAGGATCCTAAGTTTGATGCTTGGGATGAACAAGACTCTATGGTTATGTCATGGTTATGGAACTCTATGTTACTAGAAATCAGTGACACTTGTATGTTTTTGAGCACGGCCAAGGAGATATGGGAAGCAGTCAAGCAAACCTATTCCAAAGTACGTGATACTGCACAGATCTATGAGATCAAGACCAAAATCTCCGCTACCAAACAGGGTAATCGGTCAGTCACCTAATATTCCAACCTCTTGAAGGGTCTATGGCAGGAGATGGATCATTATTACTGCATTCAGATGAAGTGCAGTGAAGATGCAGCCATCCTTAAGAGGTTTGTTGAAAAGGACAAAATTTATGATTTTCTTACAGGTTTAAACATCGAATTTGATGCTGTAAGAGTGCAAATACTTGAAAAAGAAGATCTGCCAACCTTAAATGAGGCAATTGCAATTGTTCTTGCTGAGGAAGGAAGAAGGGGTGTTATGATTGAAACTCACACAGTAGAGAGTTCGGCCTTGGTGTTAAAAAACACGGCTGTGAAGAATTATGGCTCCGAACAGTGTTTTAGAGAAGGCAATGGGCAAACTGATATGTCAAAACCATTCAACAAGGATTATTTGTGGTGTACATACTGCAAAAAATCCCGCCATACTAAGGAGAAGTGCTGGAAGCTCCATGGCAAGCCTCAAATTGTGAACAAAGCTTGGTCAAAAAAGAGTGGACAGCTAAGGGGACAGGGACAAGCACATGTGGCAACCACACAATCCAACAGTGAAGACAATCTTTCAATCCCATCTGCTGAATTCAACAAAGAAGAGATAGAGAAATTAAGGAGCCTATTGGGAACGTTGGAGAAACCGTCTACAGCAGGTACTTGTTCTTTAGTGTTCTCAGGTATTTCCTCTCCTTCCCCCTCTTCTCATGTTTTTAGTGCTTCGGATATAGTCTCCTCAAGCTCCTGGGTCATTGACTCAGGAGCTATAGATCACATGACCCATTCCTCAAAAAAAATTATTTCATATACCCCTTGTCCTAGCAATAGGAAAATAATAACAGCTGATGGTTCAGTGACAACCATGGCTGGTCAAGGAGATGTTTTTTTGAATGACCACCTTCACTTAAGAATGTCCTCCATGTCCCAAAACTATGCACCAATCTTGTGTGAATCCAGAAACTCACTACAGATTCTAATTGCAGTGTGACGTTTTATCCTCTCCGTTGTATATTTCAGGAACAGGGCACGAAGAGGATGATTGGACATGCTTGGGAGAGGGATGGTCTACACTACCCTGAAGAATCAAATGGACAAAATAGAGTTGAGCGTTTGTCACCATCATCATTTCTTTCCGAGTCATTCAAATCCAATAAAGATAAGATATGGCTTTAACACCTTTGTCTTGGTGACCCATCATTTAGTGTTCTCAAAATAATGTTTCCTTCATTGTTCAAAAGTTTATCCATTGAAAATTTTCATTGCGATGTATGTGAACTTACAAAGCACAAACCTACTTCTTTTCAAATCAGCAATAAAAGAACTTCTGTTCCATTTACCTTGATTCACAGTGACATTTGGGGACCTTCCACTGTTACTAATGTTTCTGGGGCAAGGTGGTTTGTCTCATTTATTGATGATTGCACTCGTGTGTCTTGGATTTTTCTGTTAAAAAAATAAATCGGATGTGAGTTTTGTGTTTCCAATTTTTTTCAATATGGTCAAAACTCAGTTTGGTGTGGTGATAAAGAGATTCCGATCTGACAATGCTAAGGACTACTTTAATCAAATTTTCTCTCCGTATTTCCAAAAACAGGGCATAATACATGAATCCTCTTGTGTTAGCACACCTCAACAAAATGGGGTGGCCGAACGAAAGAACGGCCACCTTCTTGATATTACAAGAGATTTCTTGTTCCAAAAAAAATGTTCCAAAACAATTCTAGGGGGAGGCTGTTTTAACCGCTGCTCATCTCATCAATCGGCTTCCTACAAGAGTCCTTGGTTTTAAAAGTCCAATGCAGGTCCTTACAGAGTTCTTTCCCAATTTTAACGCATCTAATAATCTTGTTCCAAAGATATTTGGTTGTGTTGCCTTTGTTCATGTGCATTCTCAAAACAGGGGAAAACTTGATCCTCGAGCTCTCAAATGTGTCTTTCTTGGCTATTCCTCCACCCAAAAGGGCTATAAATGCTATCATCCTCCGACAAGGAGATTTTA